AGTGTATCTTTGACTTTAAAAAAAATTGGAAATAGCAGTATGAAAATTTTATATTTTTTATTTGATAAATATCTCCTGAAGTTGATTGTTTGGCCAGATATATTAGATATATTTTTGTAAGTTATTTGAGTGATTTACAAAGGTGTACTTTTAGAAGTCTATTGATATTTTATATTTAAAAATTGAAGAGTGAAACAATTCTGAAAGGCATTTTAAAAGAAGGCAATTTGAATTCATATTCCAAAGATGTTAGAGTTTTTAATTTGTTTTTACATCCTGTGAACTGTGTGCCAAATTTTTTTCATTGTTGGTTTCTTCAGATGAGGGCTTACACAGCTGCATGAACACAGCGACACTTTCTGTCTCTGGCTCCCTATTATTATTCAGTAAAGAGACTCTTGGAATTAATTTGAACTCCACCATCTATGGATTTTTTTAAAACCAGCTGGGTTTAGCTGAAATGGCTAATTAGTTAGAAGTTCTTGGCAGATCAGTTGTGCTCACAGTTGGTGCCCCCACTTGCCATTAGGCCATGTTTACTGGGAAGACCACATTGGACATGCTTATTTCAATATTTTTTAGGAGGGTCCCTCTCATCAGATTTTAGGAGTCAGGGACTGCTCTCCAGTCTTCTGACCAGTCTGAAGGGGCCACTCGTTTGCCCAGTGAGATCAGTAGGCAGTTTGTAATGAACTGAATCAATTCAGCGAATACTTCTCTCCCTTCCCTGGGCTTACCACCCTTCTGGTGACCTTCAGATTCAGCGAGTACTTAAAGTTAATTATGTCCCTAATGACTTTGCAAACTTGTTCCCAGATGTTGTGAAATGAGCCAAGGTTCGACTGTAAACATATGTCCTTCTTTCTGGTGCTGTGATAAATAATATGAAAATGTTATCTGCAGTGTATCTTGTCTGCAGCTGATAATTTTTAGTAAATCCAAGTTTGAGCATCTCTAGATTCTTAAGTTCTAAACTCACAGGTAAGACTCAACTTCGTATATGAAGTGTTTTCAGAGAGAGGTGTTTTCCTCTGTTTACTTTGTGTCTATATATGCATTTTGTTAATAGATATAAACACAAAAATCAGCTATAAGGGGTTTGGGTTTTTTTTAAATTCAGAATGCAGACCACGTTTCTAGTTAAAATTTTTAACTTCTAGTTCCTGAGTTTGGTTTTCCTGTGGAATATTTGAATTTTTACAGTAATCTCAGAGGTTTGTTATTTATTGTCTCAGATATACTGAGATTCCAACCCTCTATGGATGATATTGAAATGTATTTTTCGTAAAAGGATGGGAGAGAATCTCGGTTTCATAGTAATTCTAGAAAATTAATGTTTCTTTTTTTCCCCAGGTTGTTAGTTTCAGTCCTCAGTAGCTATTGAGGAATATACAGCAGTGATTCCTAAAACAAAAATTTCAACTAGAAATATTTTTACCTTCATAAAAATATGGTATTGGAAAGCAAACTTGTTCTTTCAGTCTTACTGAGACTGCATAGTGCTTGTCATGGAAATATCAGGGCTTAAGTATCAGGAATGATTTTATTTTCTTTTCCTGCTTTTGTCTTTCCTAGTATTCCTGGGATACTTGCAGTTCTCTATACTTAGACCACAAGAGCATCTAAAAGTGGTACCTTTAACTTCTGTGTTAACACTTAAAAGTTTTAGCTCCAAAAAAAAAGCATGGCATGAATCAAGTTACTGTTTCCTTCTTATCTGTTTAGATTTAGAATGAGCACCTACCAATGTGTTACATAGTTATTCTTGTGTAGCTGTCTGTTGAACGTGACCATTTTTCAACAAGTGAATTTCAGAAGATACAAATTTAAGTGCTACACCAAAAGTGTTAGTAGGTGATGGTGGAAATCTTATTTGGTTTTACTTTTTCACTGCATCCACGTTTGTGAAAAACACCTTTTTCTAGATGTGGTATCAAAAGACATGGTTCTGGACTTTCTGTTACACAGCTTCAGTTTCCTTTTCATTGCATCCACGTAGCTGTATCAATTAAGTATCGGCTGAGGAAATGAAGTTATATTATTTTTACGTACTTTAGAAAGATGAAATTTCAAGATGAAGGTAACACCTACTTAAAAAAGGTAAAATACAAGCAATTGTTTCTGTACATTGTTTGGTTTTTTCTCCCAAAAGATGGAAGACTTTTAAAATATGCATACATACCTACACACGCTGTTGCGTTTCAAGATTTTGGTGGCATGGTATCAGAATAACTGAAATGTCAAATACACTCATAAGTTACACTATAAGTTTTAATTAACATTTAGATTGAAGTACAATTCATTCAAAAATTAATTTATTTACATAAACCCCAAAATCTTCTGATTTTTAGGATTATTCTGGTACTAGTTTCTGCTCAGTTATACTTTACAAACTCAGGACATGATGCACTTGGTCATGTTTACCAAGTCCGTTTCGTTTCTGTAAGTGATGCAGAACTAGGTTATCTGCACACCTGCAGTGATTGCTCTCCTTTCCATTGGTAGTGCTAGGTTTCCTAATAAAAGCTTCTATGCTGTAGGTACCAGGTTGACTTCATGCACTGTCTGAACCCTGTCATTGCTTTGCTGAAACTACTTCTACTGTAAATAAAGATAAACAAATGCATATGGGGTAATCTGGATGATGTTGGAAATAGAAAAAAATGTAGATTTCATTACCAGGCTTAAAAGGTGTCTTTAAAATCATTGGATTTTGAATAGTTTGATTTATCATGAGTAATGCTCTTTCATTTAGTTTAGTTGAGGGGGTCACTGTTAATTTTTTGAGAGGGATAGCAGAGGAGAGGCCTAGTTGGAGTGTGTGAAGGAGCGTTTGTAAAGGACAGTTAACACTTCTTCGGTGAGTAGTGTGCTGCCTTTCATCTTTGTTCTGTTTCTTCCATCCCTTTAAATCCCGTGGGCTCTGGGCATTTTCACTCATCCTTCTTTTGCTGACCCAGGAAAACCAAAGCCCTGTAAGCGCCTGCAAAAGGAAAATCAGATAACTCTACTTCTCCAACCTTACTAATCTCCCTAGCTCTGCTGATCTGATGTTGATCTGTAAGCAGCTTCATTTTTGGAGTCTACTTTAAAGGAGCAATTGATCATGAAGTTGTCCATGTATAGAAATAATTACTTTCTGAAATGCTATGCTGGCTTTTTATTAATTCCCTACATTTTCTTATGCATTCTTTCTTTTATCATGTCTATAAGTTGTTGGCTCAGTTGACCAAATACAACTGCTTCAATGAGATATGTATTTGCTTACAGAAGTAGTTTTCTGCTAGAGGTATTATGTGGAAACAGGTAAAAATCAATTTTTTTAAACATCACTTTTTCCTTGTCTATATTAGAACATACACATTTAAAGAACATGACTGTTCACTTGGAATTGTTTAAAAAAGGTATTTTTGTCAGTGGTTGGCTTTGTTTTGACCTTGTAAGAAAGTTGATTTCCCCACTGCTCTTTCTGCCTGCTTAGCAGACAACTGCATAGCAATTACCTGATCTGTGACCGGGAGGGTGTTTCACTTTTGAAACAACACAACTGGTATTGTTGAGAAATGTTGTTACACTGTATTAATTTCTCATTCCCGCGGAAGTTAAATTTTGTAACTGGAGAGAGGTAAGAGTTACAGCACTGCACTCTTTTAAGAGGAATAGTATAAAACCGGCACCACATACCAGCATCAAAGTTGTTGGTGGCAACTGATGATGCATATCCCAAGAGATATGGTTACATTTCTGGGAATTAATTTTCACTTTGTAATCTGTTCATTTTTACCTCTGCTTAAAGTAATTACAGAGGTTTAATAACATGTACTATTTAAGTCATACAGTAAAAAATAGAAATATATGAAAGTACTTGATTCTGAGTTATTGAATAAAGATAAGGAAAATATAACTGATTCCGGATCTAGGACCATAATTAATTGGGAAAAGTTAAGCATCAATTAAGTACTTCAAGTAATTTGTATTAGTGTTGAATAAATTTTGTGATTGTCTCTTGCGTAATTTGGCATTCTGTAATAGTGAAAGTAAAAAAACACTCTTCATTTCATCCACAAATGGATGAGTAATTCTTCACTATTTCCTGATTTTTTTTTTTCTCAAATATATGGAAAATATAAATTAAGCTCTGCAAAGCAGGAGGTATGTTTTCATATGGAGGACGTATGTTTTTTGCTTATGTTGACTCCTGTCATGGCTTAAAGTATTTAATTTGTTAGGGAAGTGGAAATATTAAGTTGCAAGACTGATCTGTATTGATGTTTTAATTGCTTATTAGGCTGTACGTTCTCAATAACTTCAATAGGCCAATGGTTTAATATAATTAAGTAATATAATTCTTGTATGAATTATTGTTGGAATTGATCCATTTGACTTCATTGGAAATTCAGAATTTTGGATTGTTGACTTCTGAGGCAGCAGCACATTAAATAAGAAAACATATAGAGAGGTTGGAATGTGTAAAGTACTGCTTGCTTTCTCCCCCTTGCCTCCTTCTCCACCAAAAGCTGACCTTAGAAATACTTAGGAGAAGAGGTGGTTCTGTTTTTATTAACTTCATGAAGCTGCCTAAGAGATCGGGAGTCATCATTCTGATAAAGTATAGAAACTTCCTGACACTGAATTTGTGAGCTCTAGGGTAAGTGACTAAATAAGAGGAGGTCATGGGAATTGGTGGTTCCACCCCTGTTTACCTTGTGTTCACTTCTGTTCGTAATCCAGCCATTTTGTTATTTCAGTTCTTCCAAGTATGTATTAAACGTGTCAGGAGACAAACTGAAGACCAGAGGGCTATTTGTATTAATGGTTGTTATCTTGAAAAGACATACAGGTATTCAGGGGTTGCAGACAGTTACAAGGGTTTTTACTTACACCTAATATAATTGTTTCTATTAATTGTGTGTGTGCATATGATATGCTATGGCTGCTAATTTTTTTTGCATCAGCTTTGCTATGTTATTTACAGGTTTTATTTCTTTGTCTATTGGCAGGTATTTAATTAGTCAAGGAGCACATGTAGGAGCTGTAAATAGTGAAGGAGACACTCCATTAGATATTGCTGAAGAAGAGGCAATGGAGGAGCTGCTTCAGAATGAAGTAAATAGACAAGGTAATTTTGAAAATGGAAAGATGGTTGTGTTTACTGGACACTAAATGTATTTTTGAAAACTTAAGCTAAATTGGGACTTATAAAGTCAGTTTATTTTCTGAAGAGAATTGTTGATACAGTGTATAGTGTTTAAGCTGTCTTTAAGTGTTTTTGCTCAGTCCAGCCTCTTGTGAAGAAAGAGGTCAGAAGAATTGAACCCAGGTGGTCAGTGGATTCCTGAATTCATTTAACTCAACCAGAATGTAGGTGTCATTCAGATGCTATGGATGGTATTCAGTGCATTTGGGACATGGACTTCTATATCCCAGCTTCAGACTAGGTCTAAAGAGATTCCTGCCTTGGAGAAAAGAGAAATAGGCAGGCAGTTTCAGGATGAGGTCCTAATGCACTCCCACGGTAACAAAGGTAACTGTTTCAGTTGACTACGGGAAAGCCTAGAATAACTAAAACAAGAATAAACAACTATCCTGTATGCCATAAATTAACCCTTGTGTCTAGTTCTGACCTTTTTAATGCCTTTCTACAGCGACAAATATCTAAAACTACTCCTTGGGATAAGGAGTCTTAGACTGCAATTACCTTAGGCCTGAGAACCTGTCATGAGCTTTTAAGTTCCTCCTGGGGTTTTTTTGTGTGCTCTTCTGAAAACAGTATGCAGGTGAACATTCATATAAAACTTAAAGGAGAGATATCAAGTTTTGACATTATTGTTTAATAACATATACCCTAAATTTATGCACCTTGCTCCTAGAAAATGGCTAGTACTGGCAGTAGTGTCTTTACAAGAGAAATTGGACTTTGAAAAAGCATACCGATTTATTTTTCCCTGCTTTTTTCCCCCTCCTTACAGTGCTGTATTCCATATTCCAATCCTCAAACAGGTTTTTTGGTGAAAGGTCTTTGAAAGTTTCTGGGTTTTCTGCTCCACAGAGAAAAGAATATTCAGTTGTTGTTGACTGACCATTCTTGAGTCTGATAGAATTGTGCTGCTATCCCAGAACTTCGATTTACAAGAACTAGGGTGCTGTGGTCTGAGTTACATATTGAAGGGAGATGACATTCAGAGTGAAGATGGAGCCTTTGAAGGGGGTGTACTAGGGGGCTGCATCTCTATAACTTCTAAACCCCTGCCTGCCTCTTAAAAGGCTTCTTCCTGCTTGAAGATGGTTCTTCTTTTATAATGTTGAGTTTCCATGTCTAAAGACAGATTTACATAATTTAACAGTAAACTAGTAATTGCTTTAGGCTTTGCCCTGATTTAATTTGTATGCTTAAACCCATTTAATGCCCAAAGCAAATGGTAAAAAGAAACTGGAAGACATGATATGTGAAATAAGAGATACCTACTGATACACAGAAGTAGACAATAGATTTGCAAAGGCTTTGATTCAATTAATTGATAGTGTTAACAGGAATTTGATTAGCAGTTTTTATACTTAACACACAAAGAGCATCAGATTAGATAGTTGCAAGTATTTTTTTGTCTGTATTATCATTTCTCCATTTTAATTACTTGTTCTCTTTTCTAACAGTACTGTCAATCTTTGCTCAAGAGTTGTTTCTGGAATGTGCCTCAGACTAGATTCTTTAAGGTTGTTTTTTAAATGTTTGACTTCACTGATGTGCAATACTAATTGACTGCAATAGCTGTTTGTAAAATTGGAATTATTTGGGGAACCAACTTTTCCAAAATCTGTTTTATATTTTGTTGCTTTTTTAAAAAGAAATTATTTGTTATATTGGATTTTACATACATTTTTACAATGCATATATTCAACATTACACAGTAATGTTCAGTCTTTGGAAGTTTATGTAAATTATTTTGAACATCCCAATTGTAATGTTAACATTTGCAACCTAAACTAAATGCCACAAATCACTGAAAATTTCAGTGAGGTTTACGTATTTCGTAGTTAAACGTACTATAAACTGTCTACTGTACTGTCTTTAAAAATCTGAGAAGAAGGTACATGTTCCCACACTGTAGCTTTTAGCTTCTAAAGTAATAATTTAGGTTGGTTTAAAATCCTAAATTTCACTTGCTATGGAAAACCTATTTTCCAAGCATTCCTCTGACATTTTTGTCAGTTGGTTTGCTTGGTTGTTTCACAGAAGCAGGGAAGAAGGCATGCAGTATCCCTCCTTCTGAATTTGTGTCTGAAGCTGTAAGAACTCAGGGCTTTTGCCTGCAGAGATGAAATCAGAGGAAATAATTTCATGATTGTGCATGAGAATAGAATAGAAAGGGTATGAATCTGGATATGAACTTGTGTATATCTTACTAAATCATGAGACAGTTGTCTCAGCAATAAGGTTTTAATTATGTGCTTTTGATGGCATCCTTAACTTGAATGTAAACTTAATATTAAATACAAAATGATTATTCAGTCATTATAATGATCACTTAGAGAAGTACCTTATTGTGTATATGTTGTGGCTAGAGAAGTTCAGAGCTTAAATAGGAACTTAATTGTTTCTCCTAATGTGGAATTAACAGTGATGCATTGTCACAGTTTGATCTTTGGCTATACTTGTAGCAGAATATAATTATTCCTCCAGCAGCGGGATAATTCCTATTCCTTCCATGTAATGCACTCTTTCATATCATATAAAGCAATGCCAGTTTTGATAATGCAAGATACCAGTGAGGTCTGTGGAACGGTCAGTCTGGCTCATGTTATGGGTAATGGAAGATCATCCTGTTTATTTTGAAAATAAACAAATAAACCTGAGCGCCAAAATATCCTACCTCTGCATAGGTAAAACATGCAGTGTGAAAAGTAAGTTGACATTTTCTGTAACATTTTTGCCTTCCAACCTTTTCATGTGTTTATTCCTACATTAATTAGTTTCATTTTCGTGTTGCCTCGTTAATGCTGCAAGTACGGCTCCCTAGGTATTGGCAGTCAGAGTTGCTTGGTGGCGAAAGATTGCCTGGAAAGATCAGTCAGGTTCATTGTGATTTCAGATATGTTTAACTGATGACATTTGATGTTTGCTTCTGTTAGAAATCTGAGGAAACCCACCGTGTTAGATCACCCTTTTTACTGCTTTTGCAGGCCTTCTTTCTTTGTAGGAAAAGTGCAAACAAACCCTTCCAGTTGTGCAGCTATTCAGTGGGCAAACTGATCAGTGGTGCACTGATGTACAGATGCCCAAATTTTTGCAGGTAATTGCAAAAATTGTATTTTAAAGACATGTCTTACTACAGGACAAAATGTGGGAGCCTCTGAAGACACTAAATTCACAAAAAATAAATCACAGAATACAATGCAGTTAATTTCTATGTGACATAACAGGCTTAATAAAAGGAAGGATCTGCAATGTTTGCTCATCCTATTTTAGCATTCAGACTCCAGAATCAGATCTGACTAGAGAGGAGATGGTCAGTGATCCAAAATAATCTTGTTGTTTTACAAATTCTGTTGTTGTAAAGAGCATTGGATGTGAAAGAAGAGAGCTTTTCTAGTATTATTATCCAGTGTCTGTTTTTCTTCAGTCATGCTGATCTCCGTACGTGACACCTCTAAATTGCACAAAGGGTTGGGTGCATTTTCATGTGTCCTCTTGTGTTCTGCTGGGCAAATAACATGACTGTTGATACAATGAACTCTGCAGTGATTGTGAACTAATGAAATAGATATCCTGTAACTAAAGCCCTACCACTCTGATAGTAAGGAAAACATTTTTTTACCTTAATCTTCAAAGGGGAATTATTGGCTTAATTATTTTTTAAGCTAAAAACCTAGTTTAGTTTTATATTTTGTGAGAAGATACCTTACATGCTTAGGTAAGATATAAAGATTTTTTGATACAAACACTTCACAGAAAGCAAAATCAAGTTTTTTATGGAAATTATTCTGAATAATGCTGAACAACTATTCCTTTTTCACTCCATATGGTTTAACTGGTTTGTGTATTATTAAAAAACCCTTCTTTTAGGACTTGTTTTGTTGTTTCTGCTTATGGCTGATGCCTTTACCATTGGCCAATCCCATGTATGTAGGTGCCACTGCAATCCTCAAAATGCTTTAGCTTCATCAAAAATATTATTTAGTTTTTCAAAGTGATCCCTCATGTTTCTACTCTACAGTGTTTCAAGACAGAGTTGTGGAAGTTATCTTTTGCCAGTAGTGTAAACTTTTCATTTGCACTGGTGAAAACCAGCAGACTTGAAAGAGATGTGGCTTTAGTCTTGGCCAGCCATGGCCAATTTTAAATGTCGTCTCTCCTCAGGTCTTCAGTAGGATTAACTATAATGGTTTGAAGGTATTTTTTTTTAGCTGTTTATCATCAGATGTCCTCTTAAAACTATTTTTAACTGCTTAAGGAGTTATTTTGAATTATAGGAAACATTCTCAGGAGGTGAATTAGTAGGGAGAGGTGATGTGAGGTGAATCAGGAGTTCATCATACACCGTGGTAGCTATTTATTCAGTAACTTGAAGTCAATCACTACTTTTGTTTCAAGGAAAGAAGCACATGTTCCCCATTCTTAATTATAGGTAATGTAACAGGACTCTCTCAGAATTATTGCTTAACTCAGCTCTATTTATGTGGATAAAATGTGAACTATTACGTTTTTATATAAACATTAACTTCATGAAGTAAAAAGTGGGTTGATCTTCCCTGCAGTATCTATAAAACATGCCTTTATATGGCTGAGTTGTCCTGAAACAATGATTCAGCAGTTAAACTTATGCTGAATTTCATTAAATGCTCACTGAGTGGCACACTGTTTTCAAACCTGTTGAGTACCACTTGTTGATCAGAAAAAAAGTGAAAACATTTAGTAATAAATTATTAATGATTTAAGAAATTGTTAGGCTGCCAGAGAGGTTAATTGTACTGGCGGTGTGAGCGAGTGCTGTGGCTGAGGCTGAGCTGGGAGGCAGCGCATTGCCATCTATGGGCCGTAGGGAGGAAGGGTTGGAAACCTATGATGAAGCGTTTTCTTTTCTCTTGGTATCTTAATAGAGTCTGGAAAACAACAGGAAAGAGAAAGCCCGTACAAGGTATAATAAGGGCTGTTTGCATTCTGTTTTCTGTAGTTAATAATGGGAATTTTATTCAACTAGTCTCAGAGCTCTTTTTCTATGACACAAAGTTCAATTCCCGTTTTCATGCCAGTTATTAATGTGGAATGTTTTATTTAGATTGGCAAGATTGTGGTACTTTCTTCTGTTGAAATATGACCACAAAATTACTGTCTTGTCAAATAATGTATTGATGCAGCCATTACTCCTCTGCAACCATTATAGCTTGTTTGGGCTTTGTTTGTGATACTGATAGAAGTCAATATTCAGTATTAGTTGCTTTTTCTGCAGAAGCATTGCTATTTTGACATAAATCCCTGAGTCTGCAGGCGTATCTGGAAAGTGTGCTTAGACATGACCCATTGGAGACTCAAGATCAGGGTTTGGAAGGAGTTTTTTCTCTGTTCTACCTTTATACAAAATTGCCTCAAAACAACGAGCCATATAGATGGACAGTTTTACGCTGATATTGCTGGTATTGCATCGTATTCTTCAGGTGGAAAAGGTTACTCATACTGATAAGGATTACAGTTGGTCTTCGGGCATGCAAAAGGGAATGGACATAAATATGACAAACAGAGGATGAGATATAAACTATTTATTAGCTATTTATTAGCGCAGTATTGCAGGCCACACTGATATGTAAATAACTGCAGTCTAGAGCATTATTGTCCCAGGATCTGCTGATTTGCACTGCTGTGTCATTCTGAAAGACAAGCAGATGCCAAGACCCAGGAAGTTACAGTTTGCAGTAATTCACACTTCAATATGTAGGAGCCTTCTGGAGGAATGAGAATACAGGATTATCAATGCATTATGGATTCAGAGTTCTTGATCCTCATTCTTCATATTGGTCATAAAATTTTTTAGCTTTTTCCTCTGCTGAGTGTATATCTTCCTGCATCTTGCAGACTCAGCCTCCAGATTATGGTTCTTCATGAGTTTCTGATAAAATGTAATTCTGTTAGTTTTTATTCAATCGTCAAGAATAAAATGATTTTTTTAGTCAATTAAGTGAGTCTAGGAGTTTGGTCAACTGCTTAGAACACTGAATGTTTAACCTGCTTCAATTATTTTATGATACTTTGTAAAACTTTATCTTTTGATTGTCCTTAGAATAAAGTTTTACCAGATTTACTTAGTCAAGAGACTCTCTTCTCCAACTGATCTTTCTTTGTGTTCTGCATTTGTTTGTTTGTTTCTTTCTTTGTTTTAGTTTCTTGGCTTTTGGGGGGTGATTTTTTTGTTACTTTGGGGGGGATTTTGTAGTTTTGTGGGGTTTTGTTTTTTCTTTTTACATATTTGTATATTCCTACATTTCAGGGAATTTTGATATAGGCATGTCATTTTCAAGGGTTTGGCTGCTCTATAGTTGGGGAATTGCAGCAACTATGGAATACTAATTCATACGTAACATAACAGATATATCACTCTGCTGTCCACTGCCTTAAGGGTGTTCCAGCAATGCCCATATAATTGCTTTCAATTTCAGTCAGTTCACTGCTTTGACTTTCTAGTTGCCAGTGGATTGATAAGAGCTTGATGAATCTGTTTTATTATAATCTGTTTTACCATATTTTACACACTAGAATGATGCTTTGCATTACGTAGAATCATCTCTATATTATCTGTGTGTTTTCATTTTGTGATACTAATAATTTCTTTAATGATGGCCACTTTGCTGCATACCTCAATTTCTGCTGCATGTCTAAATGGGCAACAGTCAAGTTGGATTTCATTTGGTTTCCATCCTCTGGGGATTCATTCATCCTGTAAAAGATTAGTAGCTTGCAGTTCCTTTGAAGACATTAGAGCTTGAAATTGCCATTCATTTTAAAGACTGTGAAAATGAATCAAAATTATTAGTTATTTGGAGTAGTTTTGAAAAGAGATGTTCTAGCTTTGCATACTCTTGTTTGGGGTCTGCTTGATGTTGTGCTTTTACTAGTTGGACAGTTAGGAGAGCTGTGTGATAGAAACAAGTGTGCTGGAGAAAAACAGTTTGGGGAGAGATGAAGTTTTGGCGGGAATTACTGAAAGAATGTAGAATTAGATCTGAGTCAAGGGGCATCTATCTTTTAAGTGTTTTGAATCTTTGATTTAATAGGCTATACGGACTATTGTTGAGCAGATCAGTACCTGTTTCTAGATATGTTTTTATTATGTCCAAGTTAATGATTTGCTCTACAAGAAATTAGAAGTCCAGAAGACAGAAGAACAGTATACGTCTCCCAAGTCCGTGCATACCAGTGTCTCAGATTAGAGAAATCATCCAAATAAAATTGTTTTGCTGAAGGTTGGCCCACTGATTTTTCTGTTAAAGGTCAACTCAGATACAGTTTGTAATCCTGATGATCACAGTTACTAAAACGCTTCTCCTTACAAGTTGTCACCATTCAGGCATCAGTAGATAGAACTATGCTTACGCATAGTTCTCTTCAAAATCCCTTTCCTGCTATGTTCCTAAGATTGCTCCATGTAGTAGTAATTAAAAAATGTTTGCAAATATATGTCTGCTTTGCCCATTCAGGGTCTGTAATTCATTTTCATCTGTTTAACACGATGTATATACTTGTTGATGTTATAATATTGGACTGCCTTTCTCCCTTTTCATCAGTGTGTGATAATTTTTTGTGAGACATACTGTAAAAAGTTTTCAGTGTTTTTGGTTTTTTTACTTAAGCTATGAAGTGACATATCCAAAGGGTTGGCTGTTTGAGTATAAGGTTTATGATTCACAGTGATAGAAGATGTCTCCAGAAATGCTGTAGAAAGTATAAAAAATACACCTCCATCTTGTCATCAGTGTTGAAAAGTGAGGCTGTTTCTCTTCCCATAGATAGCTCTTTGTAAAACAATTTTAGTTGTTTTCTACTTTGTACAGATACATCAACTTATATGTATATATAAGACTTATGTTTTAGTGCTAAGAAAGTTAAAATAGAATTTTCCTCTTTTTTTAACAGGTCAGTTCAGTGGTTATTACTGTGATAGTAGACATTCTTAAAATGGAAGAACCAGTTTTAATAGATTGATTTTTACAGTTATTATTTATTTATAATCCTATTTATAAACCCTTTTGTTAAAAAATGCATTATGCATGCAAACTGTCGTATAACACTGGACGTTTCTATAACCTGTTAGGATTCATCTTCAAAAAGATATTCATCTCTAACTCCAAACATTATTCATATTGTTTAGTGGTTATTTTATTGTATCACCTAAACATGGTATAAGATTTGTTACATAATTAAAATGAAGTATTTGAACTAAAATATTTTATGTCCTCTCTTACCCTATTCCTGTCCCTATCTGAATTAGGGGTTGATATAGAATCAGCTCGAAAAGAAGAAGAAAGAATAATGCTAAGAGATGCAAGACAGTGGCTCAACAGTGGCCATATAAATGATGTCAGGCATGCAAAATCTGGTGGTACAGCACTTCATGTAGCTGCTGCTAAGGGCTATACAGAAGTCTTAAAGTAAGTGTGGTTTAAATGGAAACTTCATATTTTCTCATTTTGATGTTATGCTGCTTGGAATTGATAGAATTGGACACTTCTAACTTTTAGGAGTTGTATCTTGAAAAAATCAGTCTCTGAAACAATCTTTTCTCAAAGCTTGATTTTATGTTTTCAAGCACTCATAAATCACGATGCTGTTAGCTTTTTTTTTAAATCATTCGAAATATGAATACAGTGTACACATTTAGCCTGAATACTTATTTAAGAGAAGGAAGTTGATAAAAAAACCTCCCCTGTTTCTAAAACCAACTATGTAAACAAGCTTCAGACCTTTTTGTAATGCCAGTTAGCCTTCCAGTTTGTACATATTTTCAAGACAACATATTTATTTGCAGACCTAAAGCACAGTTTGTAATCCAGACTAAAAGTTTTTACACCTGAAAACTAGGTAATTTTGCATTTTGATATTGTTGAAAATCATGACTCTTGAAAGCTTTCCTGGAAAGCTTCAGGATTGTGGTGTCCCCTAATTGACAGGTAGTTTTTCATTAATATAATACCAATATATACCCCAACAGAAATTTAATTGTTTTTTCCATAAAAGCTCTGCTTTATTTCAGTAAAGCATAATTAGTAATACATTGCTTTACTGTGATTATAGATTTATTTGACTACTTTACCAGTGCTAGGAGCACTTAGGTATTGTAACATGAATGAAAATGAGCACACATCCTGACTGTGAGTATTGCTGCCTTTAAGGTCTGCAGAGCAATTTACTGAATGGGAGTTCTACTTCAAAAAACCCTGATACTTCAACATGACAAAGATAAATTATTCTGTTGGAAAAGAGTAATTTTAATTTTAGAGTAGTATGTGTCTGTAAGGGAGTTTTATCTATAATTGTTCCATGGTTTTCTAGCTCTCTCAGTTATTGTAGTTTTTTGCAGTCCAGTCCATATACTTTTCCTAGGAGGGGAAAAACATATGTGCAGGCAATTTTTGTGATTACTTCAAATTATCAAAAACGTGTACTTTGTATAGGATGCCAGACTGCAAGACTTCACAGCTAAGCATATGTGAAGGTTGCCTTATTGGAGGATACTACTATAAGTATATTGGCTCTTGAGAAAATGGGGGAATTTTTTGAGAAGAATACTTTGTGGTTATGTGATTTTTAACAATTATGGACAGTGGTACAGAGAGCTGTTAGCCCTTTACATAGAAGTGTTTGTTAGGTTAAGTGTCCTTTGTCACTTGGACACTCACCTCAGAACCATGCTGAATTTGAGTACTGAATGCAGGCTGAATGACAGGTCCTCTATTTGAGGAGCTCTGTTCCCTCTCAGAGAGAAATTGAAACACCTAAACACTGGATTGTTGCAAAAATGCTCATGACAGAAGGAGATGCAAATTTCAAGCAACTAATATTAGAATGGGAGGCGGTTTTAAGAGTTTACTAATAAGAACAAAATTTTTTACGTTTTACAACTTTCTTTTCCTTAAAAGGGCTGTTCTCTATTACTACATGTACAGAGAAAATTATCTAACTTTTTTCTATTGCTAATAGAAACAATGCTTTGAAGAGAAAGTGAATAGAGAAGGAAATGGAAAAGACTATTTTTCCTGAATTTTCCTTATAAATATATACCCACTGAACAATGCAAAGGCAAATGTTTCTGTGAGAAGTAAAAATCAATCGTCAATAGCCCAACCAAAATATCTATGATGAAAAAGAAGAATATTATCATAGAATAATTTCATTATTTTTATGACAATTTATTTATCCCTGTCAACAGTGTCAAGATCTGTTTCTTTTAATTTCTTTAGGCTTTTAATACAGGCTCACTATGATGTAAATATTAAAGATTACGATGGCTGGACACCACTTCATGCTGCTGCTCACTGGGGTAAAGAAGAAGCATGTCGCATTTTAGTGGAAAACCTATGTGATATGGAGGCTGTCAACAAAGTGGTAGGATTTTTATGTAATCCTTGTCAAGATACAAAGTTCTGGTCTCTAAAGTGACTTTAGAAGCCAGGGTAAGAAAAGTGATGATAAACTGCTGTTTACTGTACGTGGAGCTTTATATAATGCATGTTTTGTCAAAACAGCATGTTTGTGTTCAAAACTAAATTCTCTGATCGTCTAAATTAATTTCTAGGCCAACATGATGCTTAGTTCTATATGAAATGGTCCATGCAGTCTTTCACATGGAAATTCAAAATCAAAAGGGTTTGTTGGCATTTCAGTGATGCAAAATTAGTGACTTGATGGATTGCATAAAGGATTTCATTTGATCTCTGAAGATGATGATGCCTTTGGTAGTGTTTGAACTCTTAAAATAAGCTTGTGCTGCCATACTGAAGAGTTACTACTATATTATGCTGATTCGGGTGTGCTGGAAGAAACTTTTAGGCATCTCTGGACTCACTAGACATAATTTGAATGCTTCCTAAGCTGTATTTCCTGGACTTCTATGCCTGTGTAGCTTGCTGGCTTTGCAAGATCTTGCTCCCAATAAGTACAAATACTTTCATGATTCACACAGGCATCAGAAGGATCCAGACCTTTTCATTCAACTGTGTAAATGCTGAGCTCTCATTCTTTTCTTTGCAGTGTGTTCTAATCTGCTTCCAGTTTCTGTCAATACTATATATGTAAATTACCTGCCATCTTAAGATGGATTCTTCATTGAATTTTTTCATAAACTTTTAAAAATAAATTAGGAAAATAATGCAGATGCAGACAATGAATTAGCAAATATTTACTCTATGTAAGGGTAAAATTACTGCTGCTTAACATTTTTAGACTTTGTTGAATTTTTATTCCTTACAAATGGAGGATACTTATAATAAAATTAGTGAATTCTGAAATTAAATTCCAGATAGCTTCAATTCTTTCTGTATAATGCTTACAGAACTTAAAAATGTCAGCTGCGTAATTGTATTTTGTATCAGGTAGTCAGACGCAGATGTAATTAATCAAAGCTAGTTTTTCAAATTATGTGTTAGACTTTTTACTGGGACTGTGACAATGCGGATATAATATGCTAGAGAGCACTTTCATACAAGTATGTTCAACTCCACCTAGGCAAGAATAAGAGAGACATAGAAACAATAAGGCAAGAGTAAGGAGACATAGAAATATGTCAGCTGGTTTTTTTTTTGGTATATGGGCTTGTCTCTGCAAGCTAGGAAAGATTTGCCTGTTGTGTTCTTAAGTAAGCTAGTAAACATTTTTAGTTTTGGAGATAAGAAGATTGAAAACTCCTGGATTTGGTTATAGTTGTATGTGCTTAGCACCTTGGAGAACTCAGCCTTTATTGTTTAGGCACTTCAGGTATCAATTGTTGTGAATTTGAGTTTAAATGTAACCTTCCAACTACGGCAGTTTTTTGTAAAGTGACTCTTTGTGGTCAAGGTAGGTCTAACTCCCACTTAACAGCTACCTAAAAATAGAAGGCCATTTTAAAAAACTGTAATCATAATGCAAATATAAACTTGAGATAACAGTTCAAATGTCAAGCTCTTTTGGGTAAGCCTTGTTGAAAAGTGCACATACTTTTGTATGGTCAGAAGCTTTATGGATGTGAAAATTAGTGGTTTCCTGTCTAACCAGTTAAGGTAGCCTTCACAGTGTAATTAGGGATATATTTACCTTTAGTTAACATTTTGAGAAACTGAAATAAGCACAAATAGGAACACCTTTCATTGTTTTTATAAGCTGCTGTGACTGCATTTAAATGACAGCTCTGTCTTTATTGCTGATTATTGTACAGAAGAACTTACTAGACTGATCTTGTCATGATCTTCCAACATCTCATGAAATCCACCCATTATGTTGATGCAGCTGCATATATACCAGTGGATCTAGGAATTTGCATAGGTTCCAGCCTTCAAGTTCATGACCCATGGAAGTCATACACTAAAGATAAATAAGAACAAGTGGTTGTAGCAGATCTTCTCTAAAATGGAATGTAAATTGTAAAATAGAGTTTTGCTGTAAAATGTGAAAGTATGACTACTTAAATTTAGTATAGCTTGTTTAAATATTATAATCGTTAAAAAATCAATCTGTGGTTGATGTGGTAGTCTACAATGAGAAGGATACTGAACTGCTCAGGATCCATCCGTACAACTGCCATTGGGAGCAGTTGTTTGTTTGGAACTAATATTGTGAGAATTATATTCATCAATCTACTTTTCTTTTCCTTCATAGTGGGTTTTTGTTCGCTTCAAAGGACAGGAAAATGTTGTTGTTATGTCTTTATCACTTAAAAAATGTGTTTACTCATCATGTATAGATGGTTTTGTTTCAATTACCCCCAAAAAAAGTAATATTGCAAAATTGTTTTCAAATACTGACAGACTAACAGTTTGCAATAGAGCTTGACTTATATTTTTCAGTTTCTCTCTCTGAATGTGCTCCTTTACCTGCATCATCATATGAGAAGACATTGTAGTCTGTTGTATTTAAATTTTCTTGCACAATTACGATGTTTTACTTCTTCCCCTTCTCCAGGGTCAGACAGCGTTTGATGTAGCAGATGAAGATATTCTAGGATATTTAGAAGAATTGCAAAAGAAGCAGAATCTGGTAGGCCTTGTGCATATATATATATATATGTTTATCGTACGTAGGATTATGGTATTCAGCTCAAGAGAAGCATAAAGATTAAAACCAAAGTTTTGATTTGGCACTTCAATTCAGGTAATCCTACAGCCATCTCACAAGATCTTTTATGCCCTTACTTGGTCAGTTGTGGTAACCAAAGAGCCTTGGAAGAAGAAAAGTGCTCTACTACTTGCCTTGTCCAGTGTCATTTTATGATCTGAAGTATCAACAATTGGAATAACAGTTTCTGAGATTTTAGAATTTTGAACTTTGAAAGCTTATACACACACACTCCAGTATTTGTAATAGTTAGAGAAGATTTCCCTCCATTTGTAATTTTGTCACAGTGATACCATTCTATCAATTAAACTGCATCATTCTATTTTTTGAAGCTTCATAGTGAGAAGCGCGAAAAGAAATCTCCCCTAATTGAATCCACAGCCAACCTGGATAATAATCAGACACAGAAAACATTCAAAAAGTAAGTAAAATAGGAAAAATTATAAGCTCTTAAAAAAAGATGACTTTACAAGCTGTCACAAAGTCCTACTTAACAGGCTTTAGTAAATTTTTTGGAATTTAGTAAGTACTTTTCTTTTTAAACTCAGTAAGGAGACATTGATTATGGAGCAAGAGAAGAATGCAGAGTCTCTGGAGCAAGAAAAAGCAGATGAGGAAGAAGAGGGAAAGAAGGATGAATCCAGTTGTTCTAGTGAAGAGGAAGAGGAGGATGACTCAGAATCTGAAGCAGAGACTGGTACGTTATTTAGAGCATTGCCTTTCTTCAAGTTTTTACTTTATGAATTTACTTATTTAATATCACATGATAGAGAGTTAAGTATAGTACGTTTCACTTATTCTTCTGCATTTCACTAAGCTTCCAGTCATTTTAAAGCAAGTTTATACAAGTCTGAAGTCAAGTCATAACAGATACATCAAACGGATGTGTTTACTGGTGGCTACTTAGGTTAAAGCTATTAACCAGTTTACTTGATTGGCTACTTAACAATTGATACTTTTAATTAGATAGAATAATGTAAGCCTTAAGTGGCATGTCAGAAACATTGAAAAAGAAGATCAAATGAGAAATGAAAGTTTTGTACCAGTATTTGCTTGTGGAACTGGTTTAGAGATTGGATCAGTAAAAGTACAAACATTCTCATTTGCTCTTTCCATCCTGAAGTAATTATCAATTAATCTGGCAATCGTGACTCAGGTATTGATAGAGTAATAGTGCATATATTTTCAGTGTGTACTGAGATAAACTTTTAAAGGTGTTATTTTAATGTTAACAGTTACTTCATATGCAACTTGAGTTAAAGAGGAATGTTCTTTGAAAAGTTTCGGGTTGTATGCAAAGTTGTGTGCGTATTACCCTGTATTTTACTCTTCTATGGAATTTATGGGTTGGTTTTTTCTTGAACAATTTTCAGAATAGCCAATAGTGATATAAGAACAGCATAGTATCATTTTCTTTCAAACCAGAAAACAAATGTCAGCCAATTAGTATTTAAAGATGTATGTTCAATCCTAATAAAGAATTTTAAAATTACAATGCAGCAATAAAATACATAGACAAGGATGTCATTAGAAATAGCTTGTTAATATTTTATACTTACACTTTTAAAAATAAGTGACCATTTTTGGTGAGCTGTCAGTTTTCATTTTAATACATTCTAATTTCTTCACCTGAAAGGTAAGACTAAGAAGGTATTTTAGAACCAATCTATCGTGAACTTTTAATGTAGTTAGAAGTAAAAACAAGTTGCTGAACCAAACTGTCTATTATGGTTTAATTATTTTTTTGTATTTTGAAATAAGCCAGCATTTCACTATTCAGCTGGAAAAATGTCTGTCAAGCTTTGTAATTAGTCTTTTACCTTAGTATACTTGCATCAGTTATTTACTGAGCTTTGCTAAATTCAAACCACTTATAATATATAACATGTAGTAATTTCTCTGTCATTGAGCTGACTGTAATGTCTGCTGAGCTTTATGATTCTGGTAATTGTGTTCTCTTCATTGCCAGTATGTAGTTTGTGCCAGGAAAATTTGACTCTGACACAAGAATTAATTTATGTAAACTTTGGGGGTTTTAATATCAACAAGGCTTTATCATACTTTATTTGGCAAGATAGACTTTAGGCTTTTCCCTGTAGAGCTGCATCTCTGAGTTCCAAGATTGTACTTTCCCTTTCTTTTCCCATTATTCGGCTTAAGGTAGTGAAAGATTTTTTTAGTGAAAAATCTTAATATTTTAAGGAGCAATCTGGTTGTAAAGTGTTCCTTTTTCTGAAGTAGTGGAAACTGTGATTTCTAATCTCTCGAGATATTTTAAATGTTTTCCTAAAACTTATATTTTGTTACATTAGTTATGTGAGAATATAGTTTCAAAATAAATACAATTCTGTCTGTAAGACCAAGAGGGGAATTATGAATACAAAGCTAGCATCTTGCAAAGGGCAGAGAAACATGATGAAAAACAAAATTTTTCAGCAGTTCAGGTTTTGTAACTTACTTTGGGGTACTTTAATGTTTTTTGAAAGTTAGTATTAGCTCAGTCATGAATACAACTATGTTCTTGGTGTCCTAGGAATAATTTCAGAATACAGTTGTGAAAAATCCATTTTTCTCCTTCCATGCTTTTGCTCCAGATAACTTTTTTCTATATTTTAAATCATTTTAATCATTCACAATTTTCCATCAGATCTGCCTGTGCATCATCTCAAATTGTACTGTCAGTCCACATTGTCCTGTTCAGCTTTTTATCATCTAGAATTTCACCATTTTTTTTCAGTTGTGTTTAGAAAGTACTTTCCATTAAGTGGGTAGTCGTGTAAGCTGTTTTTTTGTATTTGTATTTGTTTACTGCGTAAGTCACTTTCAAAACATTTGTTCAACTATGTCCATAACTAAAACAAGTATGTAACAGCAATACTATCAATTATACAATTTCTGGTTGAAGATTGGTACTTTTGTTGAATTTGAATGTAGTTGTGAGAACACCGTATGAAACACTGCATACTTTCCAAGTTAACTGCTCCTATGCTGTATGGGTAGTGTAGATGTAAAGGTGTGTTTATAGTAAGGCCAAAACCAGTGGGGATTGAACCCCATGTTGCTCCATACTGCACAGATAGGAGGTAGCATCCCATCCCAAATAATGTGCAATTTGAATATGTGAAACAGAAGTGAGGTGTAACATTATGAAGCTGAAGCAAATGCAGTGACAACAGTTACTGTATCACAACCATGTCATTTTCTGTATGTTTATATAAGAGGGATTAAGGTACGTAAAGCACAGAGAAAGACTTTTTGGTAGAAAGGACAAAGCAGAAGAGTAGATAGACAGTGAAACTTAGGTAGGAAAAACAGGGGACAAAGAAGGAATGAAGCAAATGGAAAGTCAGCGCTCTGGAAGGCAAGTCCCTGCCTCAGCTCATTCTGGTGGCCAGAATTCCTGGCTGGGTTCTCTGTGCAGTTAATCATTTCTTTGAACTCAACATATACAGTTATCCGAGAATAAATATTTCACTTTGAATTAGCACCTGTCTTCTTTAGTTCAAATTAACTATTACATAATCACAGAATCAAAGAGTAGTCAGGGTTGGAAGGGATCTCTGTAGATCATCTAGTCCAACCCCCTGCCAATACAGGGTCACCTAGAACAAGGTACGTGGGAATGTGGCCAGGTGGGTTTGATTGTCTCCAGAGAGGGAGACTCCACGACCTCCCTGTGTCTGCTACCCTCAGTGTGAAAAAGTCCTTCCTCATGTTGAGGTAGAACTTCTTGTATTTTAGTTTATGACCATCACTTTGTGTCCTGTCACTGGGCACCACTGAAAAGAGTCTGGCACCATCCTCTTGGCACCCACCTTTGAGATATTTATATGCATTAATGAGATCAGATTAGATGCCAACATACCTCCTACAATTTTTTTATGCTCATTAGCTAGCTACTAAAATATAGGCTGTCTGGGGAGACTGTGGAATTTCTGTCTCTAGAGGTTTACAAGACATGTCTCATCAAAGCCCTGAGCAACCTGGTCTGTAGGCAGTATTGACCCTCCTTTGAGCAGAAGGTTGAATTAGGTGATCTCCTGAGGTCACTTCCAGCTTAAATGATTCTGTGGTTTTGTCTCAGCATCTCTGAGTGGTAACACTTCCTGAATACCAAAAAAAACATTACATGCATGACCTTTTAGAAAAAAAGATGGACCTAGATAAGATACAGATTGGGAGTGATGGGGAAAACACTGAGGAATAAATAATAAAATGCTGTTTGTAAAATTGACTGTCAAATTTGTTCAATAGAAATTCTGCTCTGTGTTGTAGAGGTGAAGAAATTGTGAAAGAAAAATGAAAATTAAAATCTTGTAAATATTTTGCAGATAAGACCAAAACGTTGTCAGCTAATAATGCAAATACCACAAGTACACAATCAGCATCGGTAGCTGTGACGGCGCCTTCAGTAGCTGGTGGCCAAGGGCCACCTACATCGCCTGTTAAGAAGGTAAAATAAAATACCTTTTTTGTGATTTTCCATTTCTTTTCTTCTGGGTAAGCATACATTTTTTGATTCTAGTATAAAAAGTGGATTGGGTTAACCAAAGTGAATTGATGAAATTATGCACAGATTCTTAAAATATTTTGTATTCTTCTCCAGAAACTGTGTTCATTTTTTTTTAAATTTTGAATGGTTTTAATTCTAAACTGTAACTTAATTCTAAACAAAGTAGCTGAATGTAAGATCCTCTTAAAAAAAAAAATTGTTGCACAGTGAGTGGAGTTCTTGTTTTTTCTGAAGCTAAACTTCATCTTTGGAAGTCTTTTCTATGTTGGACTCCTCCAAAATTTCTAGAAGCCGCAGTTCTAGTGTCTCTCTGTGTCTGTATTTGTGCAGTAAAAAGTACTGTAGGTCTCATCCCTGTTTCAATATGGTTAGGACCTCATGGAAGAGCTAGATAATTAGGACACATTTTTTCAATGGACAGCTCAAAAAACACACCTAGTAAAGCCATATTGCATGCTTGAAGCTTTTTACAGCTTGTAACTTTACATGACAAGTTAATTTGAATGAACTTTAATTTGGCTTGTCAAAGGAAGATAGGAATGCCTGGGGGAAAAATTACAGTAGATAATAATGCATAGTCAGAAGATGGTACCCAAGTCAAACTTTTAGAATATCAAAGCAGACTGGATAGTAAACTGGTAAGTCTTCATTTGTCAATCATTACAACTTTTCTGTATGCATCATAATGAAAGTGTAACCCACTACTGATGCTTCTGAAAAGTGTGTTCAGGGTATAATGAAGCCACAGTAGAGAGAAAAGACATACTGCTGGGGAAATAGTATGTAGTGTATTTAGCTCCTGGGAGCTTATTGGGGTTATATTTTCCTACTCAAAATAGAATCTAATGATGATTCATCTTACAGAATATCCTTTAATGTAACAGATGCAATTGTGTGATTAAATGACAAGGGGGGTTATTTTTATAGGAAGAAATAAATTTGATTTTAACCTGAATTATAACCTCTTACAAGTTGTTAATACACTATTGTAATTTTATTATGCAGTAATTAATGGTTTATGTTTTGATCTCAAAGGTAAAAGGTGCAGTTTAAAAGTAGTTATCTTCCTAATATTGTATGAAAAGCTCAGGGCCTTCTGTAGCAACAAAATAAATGCACATTTATATCAAGACTGATTATCTTGTAACATAGGAGGTACATGTGATCTAGAGGAGTAGTTGAAGCTCGTATCAAGAACAAAAAGTTTTTAAACTGTTTTTACTAATGAAGGTAAAGCAGCACTGTATGAGTGATCTTTCACCTACTCTTGCACGTGCCTTTTCAGGTTTATACTGTCTGTGCTACTGCAGCTGCTCTTCTGCTCTTACACCATAGATGGCCAAACCATATGTTGCACACAGGCGGTGCAGATGCAGTACTGAGCTTGAATTTGGGTTTTCTTCAGTCTACATGGCATTCAATAGTGCTGCTCTCTGACTGCGAATACTGAAGTAAAGCAGGTTTGGGAGGGTAGCTAAGCCAGCATGGGGTGTGATTAAAGGATATGAATGATATAGAATTAGAAGATAAGGGGTATGTTAGTGTGAATCTTCCAGTATTCTCAACAGTGTGAGGATTTAGGCCATGGACCTTGTTAGATCATAGGCTTTGTTGTTCTCTTCTGTGCAAACTGTAATTCTGCCTCTGAATGAGATAAACTTGCTGTGTTTAGTAGGAATCTGTTACTAGGTTTTTAAGTGTCTTACTGCTTTTGGTATTTTGTGCTATAACAAAGACCTGTGTAACATAAACACAGGTGCAAACTACGTGGTGTTAAAACAACCTTTTGTTTCTGTTTTCCATTCTTTCGATCTTCATCTTTGTCTTGTCTTAATTGGCTTTAGTATGATTTCATTCCTCCTATCATGCCTATCGTGGAGTCAGTAGATCCTGCATCATGGAGGCAGGGCTTGCGCAAAACTGGCATTGTTCTTGTGCCCAATAAGGGTGAAAAATCTATGGTGAGGTTCTTGTGTGCACAGGTTTATGTACAGGTTGCAAAATAACATATTTAATCAAAATGTTAATACCAGATTTGCATGTTTCTAAGTTTGCATCTCAAGTTCACAGTGTGTATTACAAAGTGTGGGTTTTCCTAAGCTAACTTTTAGAGGAGTAGTGTACCTTGACCAGTCTGACATTTCTTATCTCATTGACTAATTTAAGAGAAAAATAGGTTGCCTCTCATTACAACTCCCCTACGAATTCGGCACTTACGATTATTAAAAGCAATTGTGTTCTCAAATCTCTGCAAGGAGCATGAATTACCACAGGTAATGTAAATTTCATCTGTGTTACAGTTTCCAACATCTACAACCAAGGTTTCTCCCAAAGATGAAGAGAGGAAAGATGAATCTCCTGCTTCATGGAGGTTGGGTCTTAGAAAAACTGGTAGTTATGGTGCACTTGCAGAGATTACTGCTTCCAAAGAAGCTCAGAAAGAAAAGGACTCTGCAGGTGTTATGCGTTCTGCTTCAAGTCCTAGACTTTCCTCTTCATTGGACAACAAAGAAAAGGTAGTAATATTAAGTGTAAAACAACATTTCAAGGAATTTATATACCTTTCTTAGTATAGATGTTTGTAATGTATTATAGAGGTAAGATTGTAGTACGCAGCTCTTCTTTACTAACATTCCAGAAAGTTAAATTATGGAGCTTCTGTGTAGTATTTCTTAAAGTGTAATATGCACCTTCATTGCCTGGCGATCTGGAGTACAAGTCTGGCATTTAACCCCTTTTTAGGACTTGCAGTGCTAGTAGTAGTTTTTACACTTTGGGGGCAATAGAGGTTTGATGGTTTTGGCCTCACTTGGAGAATGATGTTGAAAGAATCTTATAAACAAAAGAAGTCTCTTTTGTGTTTGTTTTCATTTCATAGTGATTTTTTATTTACAAAAACTGGTTCTGTAATTAGGCATGGATACACTGAACCAAGTGATCCAGTGTATACACTGAACCACTGGAACAAGTGTTGTTTAGGTAACTGAACAACACAGAACTTGTGGTTCTGTTTCAAGTACAAGTGTTTCTGTGTTTTAAAATTAAGAATATTAATGTACTGTACCATATAAAAATACTGAACCAGTTGCTTTCAGTTATCAGTGTTGGAATTGTACTGCCACAAAGCAGAAAAAAGAGAAATTGAGTCATTTACCTCACTAGAATGAAAACACTAACAGTTTCCTTTCACTACTGCAGTCTTTATAATATTTTACTAAAGCATAAAACTCATTTATATAATCTGGTCACAGTGAATACGTCTGGAGCTGTCAAGGATGATGATTTTCCAAACAATTAGTAGTATAATCAGTAATAGTAACACTTAATAGAAAATACATATCTTTCAGGAGAAAGATGGAAAAGGAACTCGACTTGCATATGTTGCACCTACAATCCCAAGACGACTGGCCAGTACCTCTGACATTGATGAAAAAGAAAACAGGTGATTCTGAAGTTATAATTTCTTTTAAATATAAAATTACTTGATATTAGAGTGACTGACAAACTTCATGTATTTTAAGACAATGCTAATTTATACCATCCTGCTGCATAGATTATGCTAATCCATATGATAATCCAGTTCTTGAAGGTTTTTGGTCTTGTAAATTATAATGACCCTTTTTAAAGTCCAAATTATTCTGTGACAAGACCAGAACTGTGCAATGAGTGTTGCCTCCTGGGGAAAAAATAAAATTCAAAATTTATTTTTTACTGCTTTATCTTGAGTTGCAAAATGCTTCTACTGGGCTCATTATTACTTTTGATAACGATAAAATGATGTGTTTCTTACAGTCTTTGCTTAAAACCGTGTTCTGCGGCAGCAGTACAGAGATCATAGTTAGCTTAGAAAAGCCATTCTTCTATCGTTCTTGTTTACATGTTGACCTTTCATCTTCTTTTGTAGATTTTTATTTTCTTTGCTGATACTTCTATAGTTTTCAGTACAAAAAAAAACAAAAGGTGCATAGGCTTCCTACCTGTTAGGATTTGGGATACTTTCATGTCATATTTACATTGTCAGAATGTAACATGATCTTACCTTAACATAACCATAACTTAACTTTCCCATTTTTCACTTCTCCTGGGACATTTTCTTGAATTACTGTAGAATGCATAGTACAAAACTTAGAGGTCTTCCTAATGTCGTGCATTTTGTTGGATCGTGTCTGGATAGCCGAACATTGAATGACCTGAACTGAAAAGCCTGTAGTTGCTCAAAATGTGCTATTGTAATCCTTGTGTGTAAGAGTGATAATTTCTTTATGCCTGAAGAGGAGTGTCTTTGTTGCTACTCGTGAGAATGGTTTGTTTCGGTGCAAACACAAGATAAATACTGCTTTTTCTTATGTTTGCAGGAAATTGCTGAAGTTTAGTCTCTAGGTGACAAATTCTGTTTTGGAAGAGGAATATCCCAGATCTCGTGCTCCCCTAAAGTGCAGTGTAATTTGTTAGCATCTCTCATTTTTCTTGGCCAGATGCATTTTAATCTGTATTTCTATAATGGGGCGGTTTGGAGTTTCTGTTTGTGCTATCATTCTCTGGAGCACTATATTCTTTGAGACGGAATTTGCCAGTTTTCATTTGTTTATACAGGGATTATTATTATTTTTATTCTCTAAGATCTTTTCAAAAACTCTTGTTCTCTAAAAGTGTCTGAAGTAGAAGATACCTTAGGATTTGGACGAACATTTCTTTACAGTTTTATTTCTTAGAAGCTGTTACTGGTTGTAACAAAGGGATTAAGTTTTGCTTCAGTGTTGAGGTTTATTTGTGTCCTGGATGTGCCAGTCTTAACCATCATGCCTCATTCACAGACACAGTTCCAAAGGTGGTTGTGAGCAATAGCACAGTTTTTCTCATGTGGATTGGGTTAACTTCAGTCCCAAGTCTCATTAGTCCCAGTGCTCGCCAAACAATTGATTTTTCTGAGAACTTTCTGTATGCCTGGGGGTACCAGAGATGAAGCCTGCTTTTAGGCCAGACTGTTTAGGCACCAATACTTTGCCTGGTGTATGTAGAAAACCCATCTTACCTACCTAAAGCCATAAGAGATTTTTGACATTTATTCTGACCTTGTTTACATGTAGAATTTAACCATCTGCCCTTCAGGTACCTTAATAAATTATTAAGGTTTCTGCCTTTGTCACAGATCTCTGTCCTTGTTGCTTATACCAGGTTCTTCTACCTGTCTGAACACCTACTTGTCTCATGTATCGATAATGTAGCGTAATCCAGATAACATCCTACTGTGAGTGATGGAAATGACTTCAAGATGAATCCTAGCTGGGCTTTTAGGTTAACAGATCTCAGACACCCAGCCTCAGTTGAGTAGCCAGTGCTTCAGCAAAAGTGCTGAAGTCAATTGTGTCTTGGCAAAGTGAAACCTTGAGTAATTATGAAAAATTTCTCATGCAGCAGGACCTTTCTGTGTAAGATGATATTCAGTATTTGTGTTTCTCTTTGCTGGTAAGAAATAACACTACACTGTTATTATTTCATCATTTTCAAAAGTTGTTTCCAGCTGCAGAAGTACTAGCAAAATTTTTGTGCAAAAAGAGGTGCATTCTGAGGCCAAAGGTATCTGAACATAAAATAGACCATTGCAAAGTTTTGTTTTATTTTTCTGTACACCTGGTTACCTTTTATGTATAGTTTTGTGAAAGACATGGGGATTTTCCCTTCTGTCTGAACTTTATTTCAAATCTTGAACTCACATTTTTATTAGAAATTCAGTTTTTGCATCTCAGTGTCAATTTTCAGGATAGTTTTTCTAAGTAGATTTTTGCAAGGTTGTTTCTCGCTGCTATAAACTGCAACAACAGTCTGGAAATTCCTGATGACTGAAGTCATGTCAGCTAGTGATACACGGCAGGCCACTCAGGAATGGCTACTGTAAGCCTGTTTACACTAGTCTACAGTATCATGAGTTCTGAAGGTTTGTCAGCTTTTCAATTTCTTATAATATCAAAGAATGAAAAATCCCATTAAATCAGCTACTAAAAAACCCAAGTAGTTTTCCCCTTATTACACTGGATAATCTCAGGGACAAACAGGTAGATATTTTGTTCCTTTTCTGGGAAAAACAAAGCCACCAATGATCACAGATAAAAGCCAACAGTTGATTTTATCTGGTTAAATCCTCTTTAGCAGTTTTCTTTTGATGCTGCTTTTTTCTGATATTTCTAATGGCGTTAGTAGGAATATAGTATTTTTCCACAGGGACTTGAAAATAATTGTCCGTAAAGGTAATTTTATTCCTGTTTGGTTATGTTTATTTTAAGTGTGTTATCCAGGGTTTTAGTTTGAAGCTGCTGTTCAGCTCACATCAAGAACAGCCTTCTTTAATATCTTTAATGTGAGCTTGCTAAACTAAAATCATTTTTCAGAGACTCATCTGCTAGTTCAATACGTGGTGGCAGCTCCTACACCAGGAGAAAATGGGAGGAAGATGTCAAGAAAAACAGTTTGAATGAAGGTCCTACATCATTAAACACAAGTTATCAAAGAAGGTGTGGAATATTCTTTTTTTTTTTTTTTTTTTTTTCAAAGTAGGCTTAAAAGAGGGAAAATATTGTCTCTGAATTTTGTTCTTGCATGACAGTCCCAGAAGTCTTGGGCTGTTCTCCTTAATGGTAAATTATAGCCATACCTCTGTTGAGTATCAGTATCATAGAATGCATACATAAAATTAACTTGAATGCGAAGTAAATGATGAAAATATGAAAATAATTTTCAGGTGTGCAAGTTCCTAACTTACAGGATTTTCTCAGGAGGAATCATATCCTGCAAATATAGGCATGATTAATTTTCCTTCATTGTGTAGTTTCAGTGTAGCTATTTAAGTCAAGTTCTTCATTGTAATTAGTGGAGCAATAAACAGCTCAAATGAATAAATAAGAAAAAAAGTCAAGTAACTAAGCTGCATATTGATATGTGCTGCTGATGTACGTGGTGATGGATACTCAACATTTTTTTGAGTCTTGACATTGGTATTATCAGTGGCATGTAATCAGGCTGTTTCACACAGCATAATCTTAATTCCTTGATAACCTCCTGCCTTAAAAAAAACCTTGTCAATTTTCCTAACTTTAAGTTTAGGAAAGATGTTGCACAGATTTCCTGTTCTGGATGGAAAACATCCACAGTTAATATATAAGAACAATCTTTGCATGTTAGCTTTTACCAGTATTTACACTCCAGTCTTCAAACAAAATGTGCTCACCACTTTTAAATTGCATGTTGTGCTTTAACAATGTATTTCTTTGGTTGTTCTTTTACCATTATTTTTTGTCATTCTAAAGTTGATAGAAAAAAATATCAATTGTAGAATGACAAAGAAGCATCTTTATCCTTAAATCTTTTGCAATTAGTAACAACGATGCTCTGTCTGTCCTAACTGTGGATTGTGCGATTTAGTCATGGGCAAACATTCTGACCTGCTAGCGCAAAATTTATTCAGCCAGAACCAGTGGATAAAAATGTGGAAGCCACTGAGTTCTTTATAACTTGAAGAGCAAGGGAATAACCTGAGTGGGAGGTTATTCTTGCTGGGAATGATTTAAGTGTGGTTTTTTTTTTAAAGGCAGTACATTTAATTGGTTTCAAATTATAAGAGGAGTGACATTTTCTTTTCTGACAAGCTGTGCAGTGAAGTTCTGCATTTTCTGAGGTATTCAGTGTGGGTGAAACAGCAATTTAAAAATGGGACACTGGGGGCCCTATATGAATACTTTAGTAGATGTGATCAAGACAGTCTTACATAAACAAGTGAGATTCCATTCTTTATCTCCTTGTTGTGTGAAGAAATGGTCAGGACTAAGAGACTTCTGCTGCCCTGTGAAGTCATAAATTAAAAGTTCTAATCAAGGAAACAGTTTAAGAAAATGCTTCTTTTGTCCCAGAAGTTTCCAAGACTCATCTGAGGCACAGAATGCATGGGCAGGAATTTAATGGATCATTCCTGCTTGGTGATATTTTAATGAGCAAAGATAAGTAATAAATGCAGACATTGTACTTGTCTCTCCTTCAGTGGCTCCTTTGGTAGAAGACAAGATGATTTGATAAGTTCTAATGTTCCAAGTACTGCATCAACAGTTACCTCTTCTGCTGGTCTTCAGAAAACACTGCCTGCCAGCACAAACACTACTACGAAGAGTACAACGGGTTCTACTTCAGCAGGTGTACAAAGCAGGTAATGGCACCAGCACACTTTTTTTTCTTGTTTTTTTTTGTCAGGTCTACTGTGTGCTTATGTATGTGCATGCGTTCTTGTTTAGTAGATTCTGGGGCTCTGGATTTTTTCACTTTCCTGTTAAATTTGTTTTGATTTTGTACAATTTGGCTCAAAAATTGCGAATGGCTTTCTACTGTGAAGTGACAGCCATATTGGTATAAAAGAATAAATCCAATGTTAGAAAGGTGTGAAGAATAAAAGTTCAGTCATTGTGAACTGCTAATTCTTAATTTATTCAATTTAATAGCTCAAGTTGAGCTTTCATAGTAGAGACATTTCAAAGTCTACCTTTCTTAAAAAAAAAATCCATCCCTCAATTTACATGTTATTAGTTGTTTAGTAAAGTGCTTTCATTGTTTAGCTGTTTCCTTTTCTCTTTTTTTGTGTTGCTGCTTGTTATGCTGTAGTACCTCAAATCGTTTGTGGGCTGAGGATAGTACTGAGAAAGAAAAGGACAGTGTTCCTACAGCAGTGACCGTTCCTGTTGCACCATCTGTTGTAAATGCTACAGCCACTACCACAGCCATGACTACAGCTACTTCTGGCACTGTGTCCTCAACATCAGAGGTCAGGGAGAGACGGAGGTGTGTAAAGGTCCTAAGAGTAATGTTGCTCTTACACAAAAGTTATAATTTTTTTCTTACTTAAAGGAATGTGTTGGTTACCACAGATTTGGACAGTACAGTATGTAAAGCAGTGTTGTTTTCTTTCTGTGTATTGAAACAACAAGTAACATGTCTTGATTTATCTAAGAGCTAAAGTCTAAGAGTACTAGTAGAGACCATTCATGAAATTTAAACTTCAATACTGTATGTTTTTGACTGGCCTTGGGTTCTCATTCAGTATGTGGTATTTTAATATTTATATTTCTGTTAATAGGTTAAATGAATCCTCTTAAAAATACCCATAATGGAACTATGTAAAAACACTGAATTAAAAATAATGAGTAATTATTAATTGCTACAAGTACATTGCTGCTGATTGAGCTAGTGTGTCGCTGGCAGTATGCTAATAAGTTATAGCATAGCATTTTTTCAACTATTTTGTATGGCTGGCAATTCTGAGAAGAGAGTATTGAACCCAACACATTCTGTTTATTTCATTGCATCATTTAGGGTCTCTTCTACTTGAAACATAATTATACAATTGTCAAGGCAATATGAAGAATGAGTAAGAAGCCGAAGTAAATCTTATTTTAAGAATATGCTGTGTTTTTCTGTTTACAGTTCTATGGAGGATGAGTTAAGACTGGTGCATATTTATGTTTCCATAAAGAGTTGTTTCCTGCTATTTATGGAAGCAAAAATAAGATTTCAAAAGATTGTTAATTCCTGTTAGCTTTCCCCAGGTTCTTCTTCTTCTGGATATTTATAAATGTTTATCCTTTAACCCTTCTGCTGAAGTGCAAGTTCAGATTTCTGTGTTGCTCCTGTAATAGTTTTGAAATGTAGCTCCTGTATCAGTGTGTATCTCTGTATGTTCACGGAGGTAATGAAGCTGTTCCTTATTACCCAAGAAACCTGCATTCTTTTGGTTCACTTAAGGCAACAACATTTAAAGCTTTAGGCCTAATTAGGGTAACCTGTTTTCCATAATCTTCCCTCATACCCAAAACTGAAATGAAATAACTTCTACAAAAATGTGGATTATGTTTTTATTCTTTCCCACCATGATTCAGGAAGTGCCCACATGTGCTAATGACAAATTTCAATAACAACCATAGTCAGAACAGGCATTTTCCAAAGTGAAATTTGACTGAACCCAACAAACGAAAAGCAAAACCAACAAAATGCATCTTTTTTTCAAAAATAGTTCAGATTTTAAAATGCAAATGCTATTTCGGTCTTGTATCAGTTGGAAAGGCAAGGAATGTAGAATTAAGGATTTTGCGGTCTTATTGACTCTCCTTGGTGTGTTTATACTGATGTGCACATAACTACACACGCTTTAGATACCCGCAGTTGGCCTGAAATTCCTTGGTTTTGTCTGACTAGGATGACTGTGTAATATATTGTTGCAGATGCATTCTTCATGGTATATTAGGATATCTATTAACTCTTGATAACCAACAACAGTATTTCAAAGATATTAAATAAATAAAGAACACTATAAACTTTTTAGTAATGAAGCAGGTAATGGCACATCCTTTTGGAATAGCTGAAGCTATAGTCTTTGTATGATTTTTAGGTTTGGTTTGGAGAAACAGGGAAGAAAATTACAAACTTGAATCTTTAAATCTTTTTATCATGAATAATACTGTATAGGGAACCTGTGTGGCATCCATAAGGGATGCTAGGGAAGGGCACTTTCTACTCTGACAGTAGCTGCAGTGTGCACCTGGCAAGTTGAAAGGTTTCATTTTCTCTCAGTGAGATTTAAAGTATTTCAGATTTATTGGAAGGTAGGTGTAGGTATGACAGTTACCAAAAACCAATTTAAGTGGGAGAATTTGTAGCAATTTTCAAGCCCTAAAGATTATACCTGCTCTGCAGTCAAAACCTTCTAGGTGGGTAATGTTTCAGGTCATTTTAGCTAAAGCAGCCAGCAGCCACCCTTTTCCTGATGTACATAGGGCCCGGAGCTCTAGGAAAATGGAAAGTCAATGAAAAATGCTATTTGCAAGAGAACAGGATAGGGAAATCAAATTAACATAGTGTGGGTTTTTTGAGATGTGTCATACAATGGGCATTGTTTCAACATTTTTAAGTATAGCAGATAAGTATTTTCCTGTGTTTTAGGGGTACTTAGTTTAATAGAGTTAGAACACAGGTAGTGATATGTAGGTCTGTATAAATGAAGTTTATTTTTAAGTGTTAGAATTGTTTCAATACTGGTTTTAGTATGTGCTAAGGCTAACAAATGTATTATTAGATGATCAAAGAACTTCTCTTTCTATACATAAATTATTTAAGTGTTAATAGATGATGGCATAATCACTAGCCAACTATTGAATCATTAGCCAATTATTCTTAACTAATGACATATAGAAAGAGACAATCGGAAAATATTGCAGAATCTGATCTAAAGAAGCTCAGAGAGGCTTTGTGTTTTAAGCAACCTTTTAGCAACCTTCTGATTTTGCTTTTCCAAAATTTTTTTTATTTTTTCTAATTTTTAGCTAATCTAAGGATTTCAAAACAGTGTGAAATTACAGCAGCATCCCCAGAATATTCTGTAATAGAAAATCAACAAATGCATTAAAAACTTCTAAATTCTTTAATTATGGTTTTACATACGTACAAATATATGTATTTATGCATGTAAAGATATTTATATCTTGGTTGGGTTTTTTTTTACTCTAGTTACCTGCATTGGAGAATTTCTTTAAAGAGTCCAGACTTTGTGTGTCTACTCCAGTAGCCTTTTGGCTTTGATTACAATTACCTGCTTACTCTGCAGGATTTTTGTGGGTTTCATGAGGATTTATTTTCAAGCTCATTTTTTTTAAAGGGAGTTGGTTTACTCAAAGCATAAATGATTCATATGAAAATGTAGTAACCACCTCCTCAAGGACCTTTAATTTCTGGTGCAGTAAGTGATATAATCAGGTTTTCTGCATTAGCTGTACATTTAGCTTTTTCTAAAAGCTTACAAATAATGTTAAAAGTTAATACACACAGATATTTGATGTATAAATGTCTATATGGCTGAATCTCTGAGTTGTTCTATCCCTGAAGAAGTACTTAGTAGGCTAGTGAAATACCAAAAAAGCTGAAGTTATATTTAGAGAAAATGGAAAAAGGAAATCTAAATTAAGTAAGAAAACACTATGTATTTTATTTGAGTTCTAAGACTGCTGTCTTGATGAATAGATTATTATGATATGGATGAAATGTCTAAAATGTAACCTGGTTTATATAGTTAAAGATTTTCTTCTGACTACTTTGGTTTTCAGTCATATCATGTTGTGGGGGTTTATTCTGACCTTTTAATACATTTGTACAAAAACTATCATTTGCCAATTTTGTTTGTAATTAACTCTTTAGATCATACCTCACTCCAGTACGGGATGAAGAGTCAGAGTCCCAAAGGAAAGCTAGATCCAGGCAAGCAAGACAGTCTAGAAGATCTACACAGGTACAGTAGTATTAAAGCTTCTACATTTATGGAATCATACCCGTAACATAATACTTGAGAAACAGGCATAGCATACTGCATTTGCATCCATTTCTAATTCTTTTTCTTCTGTGCAAGGGCTATTGTAAATAAAGTGATTTAGCTGACCAACATATGAATAGCTAACAAGATCCATGACATAGAAAAAATACATTCAGTCTAGCGTCTGTGGAGACAGGAAAGTACTAGGAGAGAGTTTTTTGTTTACTTGCTAGTAATGTAGTATCTAACTGCATGTCTCCTTGCAACATTGCTCTCTCTTAGTTTACATACTGATATATTTGGTGGTTCTTCGCCGTTTCTGTCAGAACTTCCTTACAGTGAGTTGCAACTAGCACAATCCTAACATAGGGAAGGATATGGCAATAGCAAAATAGAGGGAGTATCTCTAATGGTACTTGAGTGCTCTTTGGGCAGTGGAGCAACTACCAACCCCTGTCTGCTGACAGACTGAGAATAAGCAGCATATAGGCCCTGAAAAACAGCACAAAAATACTGTAGCCATTGTCCTGTTTTAAGGCCAAGTCTCTGTCTACATTATTTGCTGATGTTACTTTCAAATCTTTGCAGTTTTAAACTTCTCAAATATTTCTGGTTACCTTTTGTAGTGACAGATCCACTGTTGATACGACTTTATCTTATCAGAGTTATTTTTGCTTCCTAATACTAATTCAGAGCCCTGAATGATGGTTAAACTACAGGCCAACTATTGTTGAATCTTTACAGTAAACAAGCTACCAGGAATTACTCTATTAAAAAACTTTATCAACACGAAAAACAATGAAATAACTGATAAGCTGCAAAGTTGGCTTTGAAGAATAGATTACGAAGTGTTTTGAGCAATGGCTCAGTCAGATGCATCAGCTGAAAAGTGTAGTAGAGAAAAACTGTCTTCAAAAAATTATTTGCTTTCTGAGCTTACTTCAAGACTAGTTTTTAGCCTCAGAATAACAACGAACTAAGAAATGAGTTACAACTTTCTCTAGTGCTGTCAGTGCAATTTTTTATGTCTTGCTGGCCTAAAAATCCAGTTTCAGAGAGTGAATTACAAAGTATTGACATTTCTGAAAATATGATGTGTTATGTTTTTAGGGTTCTTTCAGAAATATTTAGTATGCATATGGTCATGTTGGAAGCATCAGAAGCATCTAGTGGGTTCTTAAATTATCTCTATAGGATCTTCTATGCAATCTGTATCTGTTAGTTCAACTAAAAATTGTCTTGCTGGAGAATCTGTGGTAGATCACATTACAGCAAACACTTGCCACTTATCAGAGGGATGTTTGGTTCCAACATTCGAGAAGAAAGCTTATAGGTATAATAGTAAGAAATTTATTTCTTACTAGATAGATTTCATTTTCTTAAGTTGAATTTTTTGTTTAAAATATTTATGTAATGTGATCACTTTCATTAATATCAATTATATATTAAAATGATGTTTGCTGACTGCTGTTTTCACAGGGTGTAACACTGACAGATCTTCAAGAAGCTGAAAAAACTATAGGAAGAAGTCGTCCCACACGAACCAGAGAACAGGAAAATGAAGAAAAAGAAAAAGAAGAGAAAGAAAAGCAAGACAAAGAAAAACAAGAAGAAAAGAAAGAATCCGAAACTAAAGATGATGATTATAGACAAAGATATTCCCGAACTGTCGAAGAGGTATTTTCATGATGAGTCTCTTTAGGTAGAGAAATTATGTGAATCTCAACTCCAACTTTAATAATTTAATTTTGATACTACTATGAGAATTATTTATATAGTTAAATGTTTTAATATCCCATGGTTTGTATTTGTTAATCTGTGTAAATTAATTTTCACATTTTTCTACTGAATAGCCATATCATCGCTATAGACCAACGTCAACTTCAACTTCTTCATCATCCACCTCTTCACTCTCCACCTCCACTAGCTCTTTATCAACTTCAAGTCAACTAAACAGACCAAACAGCCTTATAGGTATAACTTCTGCCTATTCTCGGAGTGGAACAAAGGAAAGCGAGAGAGGTAGGAGTAATTTTTTGTGAAGGGGTTTTTTTTTGTTGTTTTAGTTCACGAAGGGTAACTTATGTTTCTAGAGATAGTTCAAAATGAGGTGCGATATGTAAGACCACTGGGGATGTACCTTGTTCCCATCTTCTGTAACTTGCATATAGAGAGGAAAGAAGATTTTCTGGAATTGGTGGTGGTTTGCAACTGTTTAGTATTTTTGCATTATTGGGTCATAGAAATGTCAAATATACTGCAGTAAGTATCCACATAATGCTTTCATTTTTGCTTTAACACAGCAACTATAATAAAATACCATATTTCAGAGTCTAAATACTTGCAGGTATTAAGAAGGAATTTTACTTGATTCAATAATTGGTAAATGACAGGGATTTTGTTTCAGTCCTTCTACACTGAAGGACTGGAACGATGCTTTACTGCTTTAAGGACATCTCAGGGTTTCATGAGCAGCTGAAAACAAAGGGAAGGGCAATGCTTCCCATGGTAGTTCAGAATGTTTAATGGAATCATAGTTCTGGATACTTTAACTGGTTTATGTAATCTTAAACTGAGGATTAGATGCATGATACAGAGATCACAAAAAAGCTTTTCTCTGTCACACTTTTTGCCCTCATTTAAAATGTGAATCATCTGCAATAATTCTGAGAGATGTTGTGCCTGATACTTTGCCTGTCAAGGGAGGAGCCTTTGCAGTGTGATCTCCTAGTCCCCCTTGGAGGCTTGACACAGTTGACTTGAGAGAAATACTTTAATTCAAGTTATTATTCAGTGGCTTTAATAGGGTTACTGATTGACATCGATAATTTTGTTCTACAGAGGGTCAAATAAAATGATCTATTGATGAAATCTCTGTGAACTGTATAGCAGTCTTGCCATGTTCCTTAAAATGGTATTTTCTGAGGAAATTGTTGGGGCTAAGCTGCGGGGATATGCCTTCTGAATTTTTTCCCTTTTTCCTAACATGAACTGAAATTTGGATTAAGATTCTTCAGTAATGCATTCTCACTCTAGGAAGCTCTTTCTACACTGTTCTGTGGAAAAGATTTTCATGGGTAAATATTAGCTACAGCAGGTTTTATGTTTTTTCACATTATGACTTCAGAGAACTACATTACCATCTGAAATCCCAGCAGTCAAGTCCTAAGTTATTTAATTACAAAAGGTATATGATCACCACAAATATTTGTGTTTCCCTTCTTTCCTGTTTAATTTTTGCTTCACGCTAAAATGTTTATTTACCTCTGAAGTCTATTGATGGTAGTTTTTAATTTTTAGTGATTAGTGATGCTTCTATCTGAACTCAAATCTGTAGTTGCTTTATTTAATAAAAGAACATCAGACTGAATAGACCATGTGATAATAAGTAAATAACTTTGGTTTGGCCAGGTTTGTTTAAATTTATTTTTTTTTACAAATTACTTGTAAACATACAGTGAAGCAAAGATAATCCTGAGGTATTATGTCTTTTTCAAATTGCAGTTGCATTAATTTTAAAGAAAAAGTCCATCTGTAATACAGTAATAATCTAATGTAGCAGATCCCATTTTATTCTTCCTTAGAGCAAAAATTGAGATGAGACTGATGAAACGAAGGACTCCAAGGAGGACTTAACAGACTTTTAAAAGTTAGGATTTTTTTTAATACTGAATTCTTGATTTAAGCAAAAAAAGCTTGTTTGATGAAGAATGGTGAAGAATTATCTTCTCTTCCTTTGTACTCTTATACATCTGCTGACACAGATGTTTGAATTATTAGGATTGTTGCTACATTGAAACATTTTGTCTAGGTGGCTGAGGTGGAATTAGTATTTACAGTATTTTAGAGCTATATACTGGGCAGTGTATATTACAGAAAACCCTGTATGTGGTAAGAAGCTCTATAGCAGATTTATTTCAGGTAAAAAAAAACATTGCAAGCAAATTAAAGACTGAGAAGTATTACTTCAGAAAATTTTCAGCAAATTAGATTGTGTCATAATTCAATGAATAAGAAAGCTGTTATTAACAGAAGGAGGCAAAAACGAAGAAGAAAAGGAAGAAGATAAGTCACAGCCTAAATCTATAAGGGAAAGACGGAGACCAAGAGAAAAACGAAGACCTACGGGAGTTTCTTTTTGGACTCAAGATGTAAGTAAACTTCGCTTATAGCAAAGTACACTCTTCATGCATAGTGTACCCTTTAAAGAGAGAATACTTTAGAGTAATACAGTATATAACTAATTGTTCTAGGAAAAAAATGCTTTTCTATTTATATATTCTTTTTTTCTTTGTTTTGATGCTTTCAGGAGCAGAATCAAAATTAGGTCTTTGTTTGGTTGATAGTGCTAACTAGAACACTGTAGTAACCATAACTTAGTAGGAATTAATTGTAATCTAAAAAGAAAACATTAATTACTGAACAAATGTTTTATTTATTATGTTGTTTATTATAATCCTGTTAATTATGAGATATCTTAAAAGTTGTGTATAAGAATTTTTTTATAATAAGCTCTGAAATAAATGGAATATATGAGCCAGTTCCCTGTCACATAGCTATATAAATTGATTTTGCTAAGTTGGTATAAGCTCTTTTGTCACATCAACTGCAGAAAATATTAAAAGAGATTGTCAGTTGAATATCAAAATAAGTATTTCATGTGTGTTTAAGTTTTCTTTTCAAATTTTGTCAAACCTAATATGGAATTTCCAGTATGTTATCAAAATTGTGGGGAGGAGGAGAGAGGAGAAGTCCTAACCATGTAATTATTATAATACTGTTAATTACAAGGTATCTCAAAATTTGTGCATAAGAATTTTTTTCTTTGTAAGGTGTTTTTTTCCTTTGCATACAAATGGTTTCTCAGAGATTTAAAGCATTATGTGGATTTCAAGTAACTTCCTTTCTTTGATAAACAACTATTTAGCGTTTATCAATGATCAGCTGAGAACTATGTCTATTACTTTTGACAATGCAATATTTTGCATACATACCAAAGCTGTAAGAAGGAGAGTCGTTATTTGGCACATTACAAGTAACCATGTACTGCTATCAGAATAGAAAGGTTATAGTTGATGTTTTGGGCTCCTCTTCCCTTTTCTTTGTCATAGGATCAATATGTAATGTAAAAGCAAGATTTTCATGTGCCAAATGCAAAGTTAGGTTTTGTCTCCTTCTGGTACTGAAAACAGATATCTCTTTGAGAATTTTCTTCATGTATCCTGTATATTCTCTGTAGAGTATTCTGCTGGTCGTACGTTTTCATATTAAAAGTCTAGAATGCCTTAAAATCTCACTATGCTTTCAACAGTTTAATTATTTTTCCTCTCCCACCTCTTTCACCAGAGTGATGAAAATGAACAGGATCACCAATCCGATTCAGAAGAAGGAACAAATAAGAGAGAAAGTCAGGTAATTTAAGGAAGTTAATTTGTTCATTAACTTTCTAACAGATACGTTTTTATTGTAAAATTTCTGTTGAAGTTGGATTCACATATCAACAGTGGCCAAAACTGATAGTTTTTGACTGCCATTCTGATTATATAGAATTGTCATCCAGACAATGTAGATTAAATTTCTGACAGCCAGGTCAGGGACATGATGCAGCAAGTTATTGGAGGGAGCTTTCAGTTTCTACCCTGCAAAAATCTTTATTTCATCTATACTTTTATTTTCAGGTAAATTACGTCCATTAACTTATGCGCACTAATTAAAACCTTTTAAAATTAAAGCCAGTGCTGTCATTATTATAATTAAAAAATAATATGACAAGTTAATGAAGCATAGAGAGTTGAAGAGCACAATGTATGTAATTTCTCCATTTGATGAAAATTATTTTCTGAACATCCTGATTTAGTATTATTGGTCTTGTTAAAATGTCGGTAGAAGACAGTATAATAGGCTTGATCTGATGGGAGACATCCTTAAAAACTGAATGGTGTGTGACAGTGGGATGAAGAGGTGCTAAAAAGGAATTAGTAACATAAGCTGTACTATAACATGGTATAGCAGAATGTATTTCTTTGAACCTAAAACCTGGAGTAACACACTACAGAATTATAGAATCAGGTTCATTACTGAAGAATAAAACTCAACTGATGATTTCTCTCTTTTTTGTAAAAGCTTCCATTGCACATTTCTTAAATACTGTAGTTAAGAGATTCATTCTGTGCTGTTTTGGTTTACTGTATTTTTTATTTCTGTGTCACATTAATGTAAATGCACAGTCCTGTTTCATTTCCTCCCAGTAGTACCTATTATTCTTAAATCTGTAATTATGCCATATTCTGTTCTGTAGAAATTAATTTTCGTAGAATGTGCATATGGTGCTTCTGTGTAGAAATGGCTGACTGAGAGTGCTTGGACAGGTGCACTTTTTTCTGAGTTAAAAAGTGGCCCAGAGAGTGGTGGAGCTACATCCAGCTGGAGGCTGGTCACGAGTGGGGTTCTTCAGGGCTCAGTATTGGGGCCAGTCCTGTTTAATGTCTTTATCAATGACCTGGATGAGGGGATTGAGTGCACTCTCTATAGAGGGATCTGGACAGGCTGGATCGATGGGCCAGGGCCACTTTTATGAGGTTCAATAAGGCAAAGTGCCGGGTCCTGCACTTGGGTCACAACAACTGCCTGCAGTCCTGCAGGTTTGAGGAAAAGTGACTGAAAAGTGGCGCAGGGGAAAATGACCTGGGGGTGCTGGTCATCAGCTGGCTGAACATGAACGAACAGTGTGCCCGGGTGGCCCAGAAGACCAATGGCATCCTGAGGGTGGACAGCAGGATCAGGGAAATGATTGTCCCCCTGTACTTGGCACTGGTGAGGCCACACCTTGAGTGCTGTGTCCAGCTCTGGGTTCCTCACTGCAGGAAGGACATTGAAGCTGCTGGAGCTTGTCCAGAAAAGGGCAGCGGAGCTGGTGAAGGGTCTGGAGCACAAGTCCTATGAGGAGCAGCTGAGGGAGCTGGGATTGTTTAGTCTGGAGAAAAGGAGGCTCAGGGGAGACCTTATCACTCTCTACAACTGCCTGAAAGGAGGTTGTAGCCAGGTGGGGATTGGCCTCTCCTCCCAGGCAACCAGCAACAGGGGAAGAGAAAATGGCTTCAAGCTGCTCTGGGGGAGGTTCAGGTTGGACATCAGGAAGAATTTCTTCACTGAAAGGGTGGTTAAGCATTGGAATGGGCTGCCCAGGGAGGTGGTGGAGTCACCATTTCTAGAAGTGTTGAAGAAACGACTGGATGTGGCACTTGGTGTTATGGTTTAGTTGACGTGGTGGTGTTCAGTCAAAAGTTGGACTCGATGATCTTGGATCTTTTCCCATCTTAATGATTCTGTTATAATCATGGCTTGACTTAGGAGTCCAAACATTCTCCTTGGCTGTATACTTCCTAAGAAAGATGTTGGTAATTGGTTTCGTTATAAATCAATATAATATCAGATAGGAGTGTATGGAGAGCTCTGAAACAAATTGAATGTATGAACCAGTTCCCTGTCACATAAATTGATTTTGCTAAGTTGATATAAGCTCTTTTGTCACATCAACTGCAGAAAATACTAAAAGAGAGGAAAGAGATATGAGTAAATTAGAATTACAGTGTCAGATGTTCAGAAAATAGTTAACCCATTCAATTCTGCTGATTCTTTAATGTACTGTTATTTGGAAGACAAAGTTTGGAAATGCTGAAAATCTGTATTACTTCCTTAAATGATGCTATTCTTGCTTTTGTTTGCTGATTTTTTTATTGGTTGGTGAAGCTAGAAGCCAGAGGTGGAAAGTGGTAACTGTAAACTTCCAAAGGCTTTGGTGGTAACTCAGGAATTTAAACTAACTAAAGAGAGGAGGTCTTGTGTGCATGCAACAGAGAAAATTAAAGGACCTCAGACAAAATAGTTTCTAGCCTGAATTTTTTAAGGAATCAGAAAAATCATTATTTTATTCATGTTGGAGGTCTTTGAAGGAACTGTCTTGTAAGATTTCAATTTGAATTTCTTGTTTTTCAGTACTTCAGAACTGTCTTTTGTCTCCTTAGCTGATCATTTGTCCATAAAGGAGAGCTATTAAAAAAAAGTTAGACTGCTAAGCACTTTTACAGCTGGATGTTGTTCTCATGAAATTTTACTTAGGCTTTTTAATATTAAGGGCATAAAATTTCTTCAATTAGCACAAAAAATGCCATGTTACTTAAAGGAAAGTGGTGTTCTTAAGGACAGTCTTAGAACTAAGTTTTAGGATAGCCATTTAAAAATAAGGAAGTCAGAAGATTACTTTGGTAGATGAAGGATTCTAAGTCAAAATGTCTTTCTGTGAAGCTTATTTTTCATAATGATGCATTAAAAAAAAAATAAACCCCAAAAACTTAGTAATTTGACTAGATACTACAACTGTGGTTAGGTTATAATGAAATGGACCGGAATTTTATCTTAGCCAGAGATCAGATACGTGATTTCTGAAAGGTGGAAGCTAGCGATGTTAGGATAATAAATGTCATTAGGTCTTCCAGTTTTGTGGAAGTAAACATGAGAAACTAGATTAATAGTGTTGTATTCAAATTTTGTTTTTTGATTTCACTGCTGTGGCACTTTTACAGAAACACTCATTTATAACAGTACAGAAAATTCCACCTGAATTTAATATTTTCATGACCAGTAATTATTGTAGCCTCACTAAAATGTAATGTGCTTGTCTAGAAGCTTAGTGTACTTTTTCAAATATGCAGATTATTTAGGTCTCCAGGGTCTGTATAGAGTAATAGTGCAGGGTCAGGTTGTGTAGGTAAGGATATGTATGTTTTAATTTTTTGTTACTGCTTTTGTGCTACCAGTGTAACTGTGGCTGCTGAGTCTGCTCAGTTCTATGACTGTACAAAGAACACGCATCTCATGTGATTTGGATGCACAGGCATATCTTTGTTGGCATCATTTGTCCTCAGACAAGCTTTATGCAAAGTTTGCAGATTCTCAATTACACTTTTTCACAGATTTTTATCAAATGTCAAAAATTGAACTAAGCAGAACTGACTGATTTTGAAGGAGAAAATAGTGAAAACAGCTAAGACTGCTAAACCACTACCCCCACCAAAAAAACCTCCAAACCAAACCCAAACACATTCTATGAAAAGTGAGGGGAGCAAGAACAGGCATGTGCTTGAGAAATACGAGGCTCTTTCAGTGAGGTATGGAGGCAGGATGGTGCTGGAGCAACAGGAGCAGGGATTCACAGCTTTGGGGGAACAGAAATTGCTGAAGGACAGTTTTTTGAAGATTACAGCGTCCTTATCTGGCTTCTCAGGTTCCCAGCCTCAGCCAGGAAAGCAGGAATGGGCTGCATTTGTGTTTGCCTGCCTCTAGTAATTACTGCTCTCTTGCCTCAGCAGTTCATTTTTTGTCCCCCTGTGTAGCTGGAAAATTTTGTTTCTAAAGTGGTCTCTATGTGACTTAATAACTTGCCTTTCTGTTTGGGAAGCTATAGTGCAGCATGGGAATGGAGATCTGGAAAGTTTTCACATTACCACAGCACCATAGGGAGTCCACTAGAAGCAAAGAAAAACAGCCTTTAGGAAGCGTGTTTGCTAAGAAATATTTAAGAATAGTTTACTTCTCATAGTGGCTGTCCTACATTGTAGTTAAAGGTTAAAAGGACCAGCTTAGCATTTTTTTGCATGCAACAGTCCTTGTAAAAATAGAAAACTAAAGTTTTTATGGACAAAAATTCCTCTCCTCCAGAGAAGGAGTCAATGGAAAAGGGATTTTTGTAGGTTGTTGTTTACATGGTGAAATTCTGTAATCTCACACTGATCATGCTTACACGTAGGATGGATGATGCAAGGTAAGACTCCTGCTTAGATGAGAGTTAGTTTTCTTTTGGCTAGTAGCCTAAAAACTATCTCTGTATAGGTGCGTGCCACCTAACTGTGACATATTCTACAAAATCTCTTAATTCTCAGCATTATTCATGCTCCTAACAGAAAATAGCAATGTTTTATTAGGAGTGGTTAGGCTATAGCATGTACTTTTGATATCCTCTGTGCAGTAAATGTACTTCAAGGTGTCAAAGGGGAAATTGAGTATATTGTGGAGAATGTGGCTGTTTTCCTCTACATATTGAAAAACTACCATTTACTTCTGTAAAAGAAAACCAAGCAAGGCACATCACCTTCCAAAAAAACACCCTATGGGGAGGCTTCAGCCACTGCTGAGGGAATAACATCAGAGGCTGTCCAGGTGATGATACAGCAGTAGAGTGTCTTGACTGAAATGCCTGCACTCAAGATTGTTACTATAATTGGAATAAATTATGAATCTGTATTGACCACCCAGAGGGGAAAAAGGTTTGTATGACTGATGTAATGCCTCACTCTTAAGTCATCACTTCTAATTAAATTTCACTTGTCAAATAAAGTGATTGAATTTTGTGCCTGTGGATTCACCTGGAATGAATGAATGAAAGTAATATAAAAAATGAAACTATGTTATTTAAATAAATAATAAGTACTTCCTTATGTTGGTGGTGTAGTAACTTGTTTCCAGTCATGCTGTGTTGAGTTATCCTGTAGCTTAATTTATATCGTTAGTTTGAGCTGAAGTTATTATAGATATGTTAGAGAAGAGGAAGAAGGAATAGTGAATTCAGGGAACACAGTTCTGATGCCTTTAATAACAGGCAGGCAAATAACAGAATGCACTGACTGCTGAAATTACTGCAGTGTTTAGGGCACTCAAGACTTTTAGAGTGTGATGTTAACATCCTTGTAAATCATATTTTGGCAAGCACATTGTAGCACATATTTCTTTTCTTTTCCAGACATAACAAAATTGAAGCTCGGAAATGTTCAGACAATACCTACTGGTGGATAGCGTGTGCATTTAATATAGTTGTTTAGCTGTACTTGTTCACAGATTATTATATATTGTATTGAATTAAATTACTGACTTTTATTTGATTATTATATTTATATAATATATATATGACTAATATATTTATATTAACTATTATTGAATTATTCTTTTTCTCTTTTTTTTACCTCTTCTCACCTCAGAGTGATAGCATTTCAAGGTATGTGCAGTTTAAACAAATTAATTTAGAACTGTTACACTTTTTCTCCACATGTTGTCATTTTAAGTTCTTTATGTATAAATTCAGCATAACCCCACTAGTTAAGCTGGTTTGAGCTTTAAAGGGCTGTAATGATACTTAAATTTTGTATAAAATAAGATTGTAAAGCTACAGTATTGACATTTTTTTTTTCTATGTGTGGATGGAATACTGAATTTGGGGGAATATATTGAACTCTGTATTTATAGTGCATTGAAGGCAGGCATTTTGTAGAACTTAATGGATACAGTGCTATTCCCCACGGATTTATCAGCATGGAGTCAGCTTTTACAAAGAAGACAAGAGGTTCTTGTTGCCCCTCTTTTAGAATACCTACTGAAAATTTCTTGTGTAACCTCAAGAAAAGTACTACAGCCTCTGAAAATCATATTTCCTTAGGACTTGTTAATAAGTAAATGCTGAAATAGTATTTTTTAAAAGGGTTTGATTTCTTTTTAGACCTTTAGAATTAATTATTGGATTTTATTATGTTCTGTCTCTGCTGAAAATCTGTTAAAATCTGAAATTAGTCTAAACTTTATTAATAGCAGTTGTAATTTAGTGATTACTAGGATAAAGACTGCTGAAGATTTGTTTCATAAACTACTTCTACTGAAATATTAGAGTTCACAACAAAGTTCTGAAATTATGGTTTCTGTAATAAAACTTTGCGAATTCATGTATGCCAGTATTTTAGAGATTACTTTTTTAAAACTCTTCAATTAAACTAATACATTTTTTAAAGAATATGTCCTGTTTATAAATAAAGAAGGATTTTTGCTTGAATTAAATGATTTAATTGAAAATATTTCTCTATATACGTTGCTCTACAGAGTGAGCGATTTGAAAACACATTCACAGAGAATCTTGCAGTACTGAGGGAATGTAAAAATTAAATTTGCATCCGGTTAGAAGGTAGTGGTCTAAATAAAATACATAATTGCATTTGGTTGTTTTTAGCCGGGTAGCAGCAAACTCAGTGTTTGATACAGTGAGTGGTCTCAGTTTGAGCGTGAAGGCAAATTAAAATGAGAACTTTCCTTTTACAGATATGATACGGGCTCCCTCAGCATGTCTTCAGGTGATCGCTACGAGTCAGCACAGGGACGATCGGGATCACAGAGTTATCTTGAAGATCGAAAACCGTACTCCAGTAGACTAGAAAAAGAAGATAGTCCTGATTTTAAGAAGGTATCTGATCCAATAATTTCGGTACAGAAGTAGAACGTTATTACTGTTTTTTATAAACTGTTTGCAAATAATCTCCCATTGCATCACAAACGCTACTTAAAGCAACTAAGATGAATGGAGAAGCAGAGCAACCACTACAGTGGGGAAAAATGCACATTTACAAAACAGCTGCTGGCTTTTGCAGTTTTCTCTTTAAGGAAAGGGAGAAATCCAGAGGAGCCAAGATCCTTTTTTTAATGACAAATACTATCATATTATTTTTTTATTTGATTGTGTCATTAAAGCTGATTTGCACATATGTGAAGCCTTTTATTTTATATGTTTGCTAGCTTACATATATATAAGGTAGAAATATGTTTAGATCTTGCTTTAAAATAGAGGAAGAATTTGTTGAAAAGTTTACTGTGGTGGTGTAATCTGTAAAGTCAAAGAAAAAAAAGTGGCAAGTATTTTTTTACTATGTGTAAGGTAAGTTGTGTGCTCCCTATGCAAAAGCTACTTGTTCCTAGAAATATTTGGTAACAGTTCTTTACAGTGCTTGCTAAACACCTTTATTTTACTTTTTACACTATTAATGTATTTGTTAATTTTACATGCAGTTCAATCATGCTTTTAAAGTTTTTCAGCTAATCTCACTGAATTATTATCTGGTATTTTTTAATGAATATTTTCTTTTAGCTTTATGAACAGATTCTAGCTGAAAATGAAAAACTGAAAGCACAGTTACATGACACCAACATGGAACTCACAGATCTTAAGCTACAGCTGGAGAAGACCACTCAGGTTTGTATAAAACAAAAAAGTATGTACTGAGCTGGCAAAGTAGATAGTAAACCAGAAGCACCCCAGGTTATGGGCCACTCTTTACTAGTCATCAGCTTTGTTTTTTATCCAAAGATGGGAATGGAGAAGAGTACTTCTGTTTCTAAGGAGAAAAAAGTGCAGGATTCTCTTCTTCAGGTGTGAACAAAATCTGTGAGACTGCCTCCTGCCTTGTTAAGTAGTAGTGGTTCTTGCCAGCATGTGTCTGCATGCAACTTGTTTGCAGGGTAGGAATAAACACTTTCTATACTGTTAAGCTTATATTCAAACTGACAGTCAGGATTGATTGATTAATTTATAAACCTGCTAGCAGATTGGCATAACTGCCAGTTCTTCCTGGCTGGTTAGATAGCTTTATCTTGGAAATGAAGAGCAAATAGTGCATTCCAGTTGTGGATAACTGCTGTCGATAACACTGCTGCATACAGTAATACTAAACATGTAACAGAAGTTAGATTTGTCTTAAATTGCTGTTGAAAGAGTATTTCGTGTTCTTAGATCATGCTTACCACAATTTACCTGTTCTTAAGTGTCTTCCATGTGTACCACATAAATGTCATTTAAAAGATATTTGTTTTGAGGCTGTATAGTGATTAAATAAAGGAATGGTTACAGAGGAAGTTCATAATAAATCCATTTCATTCTTTATTTCAGTGTTACTTCCTTGAACACATTTTAAAATGCTTTTGAAGACATACTTCAGACAGAATACAAAAATGTCTAATTGTTTTTCCTCATTTCTGTGTTGTTTAAGAACACATATCAATGTCTTTATTAATTTTGTGTTTCAGAGACAAGAAAGATTTGCTGACAGATCACTCTTGGAAATGGAGAAAAGGGTGAGTTTCTGCCAAAGAATTTTTAAGTACTCCAATTCAGGCTTTAGTTTAGTTTGTTTTGCAACCCACGGCTTGGATATAGTTTAATGGGAACAGAAGACTTCCTTATAACTTGCATTTTTTAGAGGATTTTGGGATTTTAGGTTTTAAAGTGGCAATGAATGTGAGATACTGTGAGATGGAATTACTCTTAAGAATTGCCTTCATGTTGCCTGTTCATTCATGATAACCAGGTTCTAAACCCCACTGCCCTCCAGGGACCTGCTGCTTGTTCCTTTTCATCCAAAACAATGTTGGCATTCCAGAGGGTTAAGCAGATTCAGAGTGTCTCATCTTCTAATGCATTTCCAAGATTCAGTGAATTTAATTTCCTCAGAGCTTTCCAGAGGCACCTGTGTTCTTTCACCAGTTATTGCTGGTAATGAAATAGCTGTTTGTATCTCACAGACATGAGACCTTAAACCTGCAAATGATATAAAATTAGTCTTTATCTGTCTCTTTTCTCACACTATAACTTTTTCCAGAGGGAGTATGATAGTACGGCAGGGAGGGAGAGGAGAAGAAGGAGTAAGCAGTGTGAGAAGAGGGGCGTCAGGGTCAGACAACCCTAAACTGAATGGGAAAGAAGTCATGTAATAAATTCATATGTGAGATAGACTACAGGAATTATTTCGGAAGTTGGGCATATGATAATTTTAGGCTGTAGTTTCATGCTAGTTTAAAATCCAACCTTATAAAAGTTTAGTTTCACAGCAATGTAAAGCAAACTATATTGTTTTTGTGGTGGTCTTGGCTTCCTTCATGACTGTGACCACTTGTTCTTTTCTTCTCCCTTGATCCTGGAGTGACACATTAGAAACTTAAACAGGAAAAAAACCAAGTGGACTTTGACAGTTATAAGTGATATGGTAAACATTTGTTTATCCCTGGTAAACTTTACATTCATTAGCCTTTTGTATTTGCTTTCAGTATTTTAGGTTTGGAAAACAAGTTTTAGTTCTACAAGCCTGTCTGGTGTATAAACAAACAATTGGTAGATTTTATAGGAGCACATGAAGATGTAGAAATACTCTCAGGCACTTCCTGAAGTTTCATTATCTTTACCTTGATAGTCTTTCCAGTTAATTGCAAATTAGCACCTATTTCTCCTTGATTTTTTGAGCATCCTACTGTAAACAGTTAGAAAAGTTTCATCAGCAGCTTTAATTAGTTTCTTGATTGCTATCATGGCCACACAAGTGCACATTTAATTATTTAATAGATTTAGCTGCATCCATTATTATGTAGGTTCCATAGTAATGTATGGAGTACTGCATAGATAGACTTTATTTCAGTTTTAAATTACTGCTTTACTTTTTTCCCAAAACAGGCCATTTCATTAAAACAATTGGCTGTATTAGAAATTCTTGCACCTTTTTTTTTCAAAAAGACATTTAGTCCAACAGGAAAATGTCTTTCAGAAGTGTTATTCTTCCTAGATATATTAGTAATAAAGCTAGCAGGTACAAAAAAATAATGATAATGCTGTATTGCTGAAACATGATTTACACAAGATTTAGATGTTCTTTGTACTTTATAATTACAAATTTCTTTTTGGACAAGAATTTAAATCAGGAATATATTTGGGATTGTATTTCCTGTATTGTTAAAATCTGGAGTTTCTTTTACTTTGAAAGTGACTGAAGCAGGATTCTCAGCTGCTAGTCATCAATAGCTGATCTCTAGAAAAAAGCTTATAAAATTCAGAATTTAAGCATAATTTTGAATACACCTCTATAATGTGTAATGTAACAATATAAATGTAAACAAATAGAAAGAAAGTGTAGAATGTTTGTAAGTATACTTATCCAAGTATATGAATTCACTAAAATAAAATATAAAACTAGAGATGTTTATATAAATTACATAGAGAAAGGGGAGGGGGAAATTGGAACAAATAAAAGGCCAGCAGAGAAAAACCTGAAGGCATCTTTGAACTATGACATTTTCAAGCTGAAACATATACCTTTTCAGTAAAGAAAATGGTAATATGTATTAAACCTGTATTTGCACAGTAGTAATATTTAAAAAATACTGACTTTGAATTTTATTTGGACTGAGCCTTCAGAAGTGAGTTTCCATGATGGGACTTGGTGATGCATTGTCAATATTGTTCATTTGAGAAGTATTTACCAGAAAGAGGCTATTTCTTTGGGGATGGGGGTACAGATTGGATCACAGATGCAAGGTCCTAGCAATATACGGGCAAAAATAAGAGTTTCATTAACAACCTGTCACTCTGACAAATATGCTAAAAGTCCTTTGCAGAATTTTGTATGATATGGTAATAAAACTTAAACTGCCAAGTTTCAGTCTGGATTAGAATTTAGAAAACTGCAGGTCCCTTTAACCAATTTTCCCCAAACTTAGAATTACTAAGCTGGGAATTTGGGTTTTGGAGATGTGTGTTTTTTGGGTTTTTTTTGTATTACTGAATACATGAATATATGTAGGCATATATGTTTGGTTTTACTTTTTTAAAATTGTATAACTCTGGGGTCAGTTTTTCGTCTGTGTGTATCCCTGTACCTCAATCTCACTGCACAAGCCTGGAGCTCCTAGTTGCTTTGATAAATACAAACAAGCTATTGTGTTTTATAAGCTAAGAGACTAGCATGTATTTTTCTTATTTACAAGTTATAAATGTTCCTTGGCATACCTTGCAGAGTTGTGGAAGTTTATCATAAAATTTTAGACTGCATAGATTTCAAACCCTTCCTTTGAGTCCAGGAACTAATCAAATAATACTGGCAAATCTTCCCAGTAAAATTGCAATGTATTGGCATTCTTCAAGGCAGTTCCTAAGAGAGTAAGCAGTTCAGGAAAAAGAGGAGCATAGCTTCAGCTAATTGGAACAGTATGGTTCTACAAAGAATCTTATATCTAGACCAGTCCATTTGTTTCTTTTACATAATGTGAAGTATAAAAAAAGTTAATGAAATAAAGATTTTATTGAATTGGCTTTTATTGCTAATAGTTGTTCTTAGACAACCTCAACATAGTTAAGAAAATGCATCATAAGGCTTAAAAATTTCTAGATACCTGAAATTTTGAAATTTATCTGATCATTCATCCATTCATCTCTTGGTAATTGCAGGAATTGTTGAATATTTCTTAATATAAGAAGACATAATACATGATATTCTATAAAGCTAGATACAATTCTAAGTACTGTAAGATGGCATGGGGTTTATGTTAGTTACTTACATCAGTTAACTTGCTGGTATTTATTATACCCGTTACTATCATTATCAGAAAGGTCTTAACTCGAAGGAGTTAAGTACATTATGTACTAAAAACTGCAGTAATACATTACTTTGATAAAAATTACAGTTGTTTGCTATAATGGGAAAATGTTGGGGTATAACTGCACTGTGATTAAACTAAATTCAAATGATTTATATCTGAAAGGTGGCCGGCAAGAGTCAGTATCTACTGGGCGGTATGATCTAACCAAAGTTTTACACACCTCAGTCAATGCTGCTTGCTGTTTGCATAACACCGTTGTATGCAGATGCATATGTCCACTTCGCAATAATCTGTTGCTTTTGCCTTTCACACTCTGGAAAAATCTGAATGTAGAGTACTGATAACTGCAGCTGCTTTTAAATGAGAAACACTGCATTGTCTGACGCAGGAAAGCAAGCAATCAAGCTATAAATCCCAAATTCTATTGCATTAACTGCTCATCTATCAGATGTGTTGAAAAATAGGTTTAAACAAAATAATATCATTTAGAAATACGGATGTGTGTCTGCACTGCAGACTGCAGTGTAGTATAGAAAACACTAAGCTAGTTTTCAGTAAGCTAGCTTGGTTGTGTAATTAGTATAATCAAGTTCTATAGACAGGATAATTTCTCCTGCTTCTCAGGTAAAAAGGAAAATAAAAACAAAATAAAACTATATGGGAAACGCAGAAAATATTCAGGAAACATTTACTCAAGAAACAGGTGATCTTACGTAGCTAGATTTCTTTGGTATTCAGCTAAGTCCTATAATGTAAATTGGGTGTCTCAGCACTAGGTTGCAGTTTGGGGTGTGGACAGATCCCACTAGGCTGAGACAGATGTTTCAGCTATATTTGTTTGTCTATGAAAGCTTACAATTTTGTGCTGGTATCTTTTAATATTCTTGTTTGTTTCTGATCATTTTCTGCATTTCTTGGATATTAAACTTTTAAAAAAGCCTAGCTCATGAAAAATAAATCCAAACAAGTGGTTCTTACAACCTGTCTAAATTTTTGAAAAGGAAAAGGGGTATATTATGCAGGACTTGATATAAATTTCTATATCTCTTCCTCCTTAGATATTAAAATTCCATATTGACAAAATTTCTATATATCACTGCCACCACAAGTTTCCTGTCCACACTATGCTTTTGGTTGTATGATCTTTGAAACTTGAAGTACTTCACTGTTACCACAGTATTTAGAAGCTGTAATTTTTAAAAAATTGTATTGTTCAGTGTTAATACATACCTTCTGATTTAGGAAAGAAGAGCGCTAGAAAGAAGGATATCTGAAATGGAAGAGGAACTGAAAGTAAGTAAATTATTACACATTAAACTATTAATAACAAAGTGTATCATTATGTCAGTGAGACGTAGTCGGGCAGTATTACTGGTTTCTATAATGTCATTAGAAAATGACAAAGTTCCAGCTGCATGTCATACATAAGTCAGAGAGCTTGTAGTGAAGCTGGCATAAGCAGTCAGACGTGTAAGATTGACAAGTGCTGAGTCCTAGGCTTCTATAACATGTTGGTTAACAAGAAACATTCAGAGATGGTTGGAGTGAAATATATCTTGACTCCATTCAAGATATATGGAATTGCAGTCTGTAATTTTCATGTGATACTCATAAGTTTTATTAGCTTATTAATTACTGTTATTAAATACCATTATTATTCTTAAATAATGGTAGCCTATAATTCCATAGATACTTAAGCATTAAATCTTGCTTCAATCTTTATCTCATCTTCTATATATATTAGACAGCATGTTACAATATCAAAAGAAAAACTTCCATTTGTATACAGTGAACAAAAATCAGGTTTTAGTTAACAAAAAACAGTAGATAGATTTCAGATGTTGACCAATAAGTAACATTTACCATATTGATTTCTGGTTTTTTCAACTATGTGTAAAGTGAATCCCAGAAGCAAAATACTAAAATACTTAAAATAAATTTCATTTCTGGTTTGTTTTTTTTTTTTTCAACCAATCCTCATTAGCAATGTTAAACTCTCTGATATGATTAAGAAGGATGAGAAAGTTGGCAGATTTGTTTTTTATTATGTCCTTTGATATAAATATTGGGCACAGTCAACCAAACTGATGGAATTGAAGTGAAATGTGAAAGCAGCATTATTTTGACATTTGATATTTGTCATTGATTAATAAGAAGTTTCCTTTCAAGCTCATTTTTTAGCTCCCTCTGGTGCTTGGAAACAGCATTAACTTTCAAATACTTTTCATTAAAATACATGCACCAAGTTCTGCTGAAATAATTGAAGCTGACAGGCAGATGTAGGCAGAAGGCAACCGTGATGCCTCTAGCAACCTTGGATTCAGACCGAGATAATTTATTGTAAGGGAGGACACCATGTCTGTGGTTCCTTCAGGGGTCTTCAGAAGTTAAATACTTAGAAAGCAAACTATACCAGAGGACAATAATTGTCTGTCAAAGAGTGGAAGACAGGATGCAAGCTTCTATCATCAGCCTGTAAATTCCTGTTAGGGAAGGTTGGGCTTCTGATAAAAATAAAGAATGTGAATATATTGCTTTCTTCAAAAGCTTATTTTCAATAAGCAGTATGTGAAGGTTTTGAATTAAAGATTAAATACTATTCCTATTGTTTGTCGCATAGTCGTATAAAAGTATATGTTAAATGTGTCATTATTTACAGACTTTTGAATAGGGGATTTAGTTTGTGCAATTAGGATCTTAAGTGAAGAATTCCAGGAATAGCTCTCATTGTTAAGGCATCCTGAACTGTTTTGGAAAACTGTGACTAATCACTGCTGGTTCTTAGATTGCTTTTCAGGAATGTGCCACTTTGATACTTTCCTTTCACAGCAACTTATCTACTTTAAACAGGGCTGTCTCTTCTAAGTTTTCTTTCAGTTTTGCTCGTCTTTAATTCTTTTAAACATAATATATATGTGGATTTTTTTCTTGCTTTCACCCCTTTTTCTTTGATTCCTGCAGACCCTGCAACAAATAAAGCAGATTCAATCTTTGAGACACATAAATGAGCGACTGGTGACAGAGAATAGGGCCTTGACCCGAGTGCTTGCCAAGTTGTCAGGGTCCTGTAGGCAACTGCGTTCTGTGGACTTGTAATTTCTTCCTTCTCCTTTGTGTAGCCAGGCAGGTGTTGACATTCAGTTTGTGCTTGGGCAGAATTTTACTATTAACACCTGTGTGTCAAAAACTGACTTTCTGCTTCTCAGTTCTGGAAGTGTGGCTAAAGCATGATGTCCAGTGTACCAACTACAGGTGTTGCAGATGTGTTGGTATGGTGTGGTATTGCCCTTATTAGCACTGAACCTTGTCCTTGAAGATGAATTGGCAATGATCCAGACCTTTGACATTAAAACCTTGGCTACAATTGAAAGGATTTGAGTTTGCATGAGCATACACTGAAGTCAGTCCCTTATTTTGATGTTTGAGTAAATGCTCAAATAGCTTTGCCTCTAGTTTCCAACAAATTGAAATTAAGATTTGAGCTTTCTTACTGCAGTTTAAGGGAAGTGCATAGAATTGATACAAATCTAGTCTTGACGAAAGAATGTTTGAGAACTGGTTTCAGTACTGTGCATTCATGAACAGTTGCATTAGCAACCTTATTTCTTACATGTGTGTGTTTTAGTGTTTAGGGGCAAATCAAAGTGTTTTGTTTCAGAAATGTGTTGGAATTTCAAGCCAGTTATTAGTTACACATATTAACTTCCCGTGTGGTTCTTGCCAATACTTATATACATCTAGACAGCTTAAAACATCCAGTTTTTAGCACTGTTAAGTTATTGATTTATATTGCTATATATGTAGGCATTCCAGTCATAGATGAGAGTCCTACAGTGCATGGGCTTTAAAAACACAGACACAAAAAAACCTGCCTAGTGTGTCAGATTGGTTCAGTCCCCTTCTGTGAAAGGTACCAATTGTTTTGAGTTTCATCTTGGAAAAAAATTCAAGTCTGTTGTTCTTAGTGTTATTGCAGGGCTGTTACAGAAACCCACTGAAGGTTCAAAACTTCTTTGAGGAACAAAATGTCATTTTATTCTACACCAAATCTATATACCTTTCTTCCTCCTCTTATATAACAACTGTCTAGGCTGGAGGTTTCGGTGAGTTTTTAAGATGTATAGTTGAAAAAAATAAAACACCTCTTGCTAAACTGCTTCCTCTCATCTACCTACCTTCCCACTTTACAAGGAAGGCAATGAGTGTACATTCTGCTCAGAATCTGATCTCAGGTTTTCCCCACTAAGAGGCATGAAATAAAGAGGTTTTTTCCTTTGGCTTGGTGTCTTCCTGGAATTGGACTAACAATAGGATGTGGATAGAAAAGTTGTTCCTGGTCCAGGCCCTGCATTCCTTAATGTCCCCTTGTGTTAACCCTTGCTGAGCAAGTTAGCTCACTGACCTGACTGAAAACAAATCCCTTTATTCTTTATAATACTTGATCCATCTTACCCCAGCATTGTTGAATCACTAAACTAACATGCAGAAAGCAACAGGATCATGCTGCTGCATGAGGAGAGAGAGCTGTCCCTTTAGGGCAGCCTGTCTTACATCAGCCTCAGCAATGTGGTTTTTCAACACAGTTGAGCTAATCTAATGCCTGCTGTCCACATCCATACCATCCTTTTTTACTAGCACTGGCATTCCTTTAACCATGGTAAGCCAGTTCAGGGTGTTAACCACAGAAAAATATTCAGTATTCCCTTCTGTAGAGTGAGTTTTCAATGGCAGATCATTGTAGAGCTTGAGGAGCCTGGGTAGTAAAAGAAAAGCAATGGAAACATAGGAGGAAGGCTTGACAATATGATAGTAGCTTAACCACAGCAGCGTGTCTGAGTAATCTAAGCAGGTACCTTCACAGTTCATGAGTTTTTTGTAATCTTTATTCACCAAGCTGTTTTGTATGTAAAAACTGTTAAATCCTCCAGCAAACACAGACATTATTACTGTATAGATCTGAGTTGGCTCCACATATGTCAAGCGATTATTGAATAATCATTTGCTCAATGACAGCACTGCAAAGTTAGTAGCTAGTCATACGATACAGATAGGCAAAATAGCGCATTTTTAATCTTAGTCAAGAATCTCATCACAAGAAGATACTTCACAATTTTAGTGAGTAACACATTGGAATTCAGAGTGTTAAGTGCAGTGTATACCTATAATTTTACTGAATTTACTGCAAAGGGGACTGTTTCCTGCCTCTTGACATTAAAAGTGTATCTTGTCATCTCAGGAGAAGTTTGAGTACCATAGAAATGCACTGCTCCAAGAAAATGATGTGATTTTGCTAGGTTTAAAGTATGTGGGGATTACTACAGATAAGAAGCGTAAATATTTTAGGTTAGTTGTGCTTATCCTTCCCGATGACTCTCCTGTTATTCATAGAATCATTTAGGTAGGAAAAAACCTCTTGAGATCATCAAGTCCAATCATTAGCCCAGCACAGCCACCCCTAAAACACGTCCCTGAGTGCCACATCTGCCTGGAGGTCTTTTAAATACCTCCAAGGATGGTGACTCCGCCACTTCCCTGGGCAGCCTATTCAGGTGCTTGACAACTGTTTTGGTGAAGAAATTTTTGCTGCTATCCAATCTAAACCTCTCCTGGCACAAGTTAAGGCCATTTCCTCTTGCCATATAACCCTTTTGTCTCCTACCAGTCTTCCCCTATTCTTTAGCAGATTCAGAACGAAAGGGAAAATATTTTCTTAATTCTACCTATTAATCAGGGTTAAAATCTATCTACAGAGATTTGCAGATATATAGTGGTACCAGATTATGTTAAAACTATTTTGTTAAAATAATTCACCAGAAAATATGCCACTCTGTGGGTCTGTCTGTGCATAATTAAGCATTATGGGCTGCAGCTCCCTACTCAGTGAGTTGAAAGAGGATTGCGACATTCCTGGATTTACTTTGAGGTTTCATTGGAATGCATACACAACACTACTTGTTGAGATACCTATTTAACCAGAACAAAGCCAGACTCCCTTGCTTCCCTGTGCATGGCTAGATGAAGGCTGTTGTGGTTTCACCCAGTACCTTTGGTATGAAATCCATAACAGAATGAAAAAGAGGAGGGAAAGGTTTTAATTGGTTTGCTTGAACAGATGACTGTTCCATTGTTTGCTGATACGTGCCATAGAACACCCCAAGTTTATCCTAATATTACAAACGCGAATGTGGTTCATGTGCATATGATCTGGATATGACCCCTATCTTGGACAACAGTAGTTATTTTTTACAGCTCAGAAAACTTAACACAAGTAGTACTTCAATATTGCCAAATGATCGCTTGTGTTGCCCAATTTCTAACATCTTGACATAGTTTTTGAAAGTCATCAGCATTTTCACACCACTTTCTGTTCAGAGCACAGCTCTCACTTAACTGTAATGGAAGCTTCCCTCTGACTCTCTGAACAGCTCAATTTAGGTGGCTTCCCCTAACCTCCAGAATGGAGCAGAGTTGGAATCCAAGGTAGCAGAATAATTTTTACCTATATTCTTGTAGAGACCACCTTTTTTCTTTTTATGATCACCTGTCATCTTCCTTTCACATACTTTGATATTTGCAGGGAGATAAACCTCAGTCTGTAACCTCAGTCATTTTCAGTGCACCATCGTGTTTCACTCTGTGAGAGGGTCTGCAGTTCCATGAACTGAGTGTGGACAGGAATCCTTTCAAGGACAGGTATAAATGAAGCCTCTGGTGTAGTGCACAGTTAATTAACCCAGCATTTTTAAACTTCTCAGTTCTTTCTGTTCCGTAGTAATGTTTTGAATATAATGGGATTGGAAGTACAATTTGCTTGAATAAAATGAAAACAAACTAGTGCCAAGAAAATTTCATCACCAAAAATTGTGTAACAGTTGTTACATAGGTCAGCAGCTGGACTTGGACCTCCTGCCAACACTTGCACTTGAGGTTACTGAGTAACCACTGTGCAGGAATAGGCTGTTACCTCCTGTGTAAACCTGCTGCTAGAATCCATACACGTAATTTAGCCATGACTATGATACGTGCTTTGTTATCAGTGTGTGAATGTAGCTATGGAGAACTACTGAGATTAATTCTGGTTTCTCTGGCAAGTTAAATTCTCTCAGTACCAACCTCTGTGCACTGACTTGTCCTCCTTTCCTGTCTGACCCTGTCCCAACTCTCACCTAACTCAGCTTCTGCCTTTCAGCTTTTGTGCTTGTGTGTCATCCATCTCCTGTGGCAACCGTAACTTGCCATCTCCTAACTTGTATGCCTGAGTATGCAGCCTGGTGTTCTGTGATCTCTTTCAGTGATCTGATCTTGTGTGAACTGTGCTATTCAGGGACATGATCTCAAATTACAGGATATGTGCTTCAACATGAGTTTGGAAGTGATTGGAAGATAAATGCTATGAGCTAACAAGCTGAATCACACTCTATCTGATCAGGATGAAATCATCCAAGAGCACAGTGGTAGAGATGCTTAGCCACAGCATGTTTTTTTGAAACTGTGCAAGTGCAGTGCAGACAAGTCTCTTCAAATTGTTGGTAATTAACTCCCCCCCCCTCTGGAATTTGAAGTATTTCATTACTTTCCTCATGCTATAAATGCTTTTGTCAGAGGCTGGTCATCTGCACTGCTGAGTTTTAGTGCATCTAGTCCAAGCAAATGAAAACTCCTAATCTCTAACTCCTAAATGTATCATGCTAAAAGGTGAGATTTTTTTGAACTGCTGATATGAAGGGCAAGGACTGCCAAGATACCTAAGCTGAATAAAGATTTTTACCCTCAGTGCTAGTGAAGTCTTGCTGCTTTTACTTGGGGTGTAACAGCAAATAACCATCACGTTTCGTTTTTTCATAGATGCTACCAGACCTGAAGGCAGACAACCAGAGGCTAAAAGATGAAAATGGGGCCTTGATCAGAGTTATAAGCAAACTTTCAAAATAAAGGGTTTACTGCAGCAGCAAATAATGGTATTGCACATCACTAGTAACTCCAGTGGACCATGGTATGGCAGTCACTGGAAGTGTGAGAAGATCCCTCGGAGACTGTCATTTTCAGATATCCTGCCAAACACCCTCTTACCTGTGTGTTTTTTTTGTATCAAGATCATTGTTTCTGTTAAAATGCAGCTGCTGAGAAGATAAAATGACTGAGAAATCTTGTTTACAGCCACAGCATAATAAGGAAAGTGTTCAAGGCCAGATACGCCTCAGATATTTAACCAGTAAGCCTTAGTTGTACATAAACACTTTTACATCAACAAAAGCTTTCAGCTCTCACAGAAGACAGTTACTCAATAATGTTTTTGTTGTGCCACAATTCCCAGTTTTTTCCTATACTCAGTTTTTCTTTAAGATTTAAGTTTGGGGTTTTTTTTCCTTCTAAATTTTCATGTACCAGATTTTCTTGTACAGTGTTTTCACAGCTTTACCATTTGCAGAGACCACACGCCCTTTTGAATTACATATTTGTGTAGCTAACTAGAGTTGTATTGTCCAACCACCTGGAACAGAGATGTTTGGTGGAACATTTGCTTTCACTGTTTGTGCAATATGCATTTATTTCCTATACAAAATGCTTTAAAGTCAGTTGAAATTAGAAATATTTTAAGAGTCCTGTTTTCTGCCTTTATTGGTCACTTTAAAAAAAAGAAAAAAAAAGAAGTTTGTAGTGAAAGATGTTAGATCCTGTAATCGTCACATTCATTTGAGCAGGTACTGAGTGATGCTGTATATATAAATGTGTACTGGTTTGATTTTTCAGACCACCACGTGGCATGCTTGAATATATTTCCCTATTGCAAATGTTTGTTATTGCAAATTAGGCTATCCAGAATAGTGTGTTTAACAAAGTTCGTTAATTTTTATGGTATAAAGAATTTAGACATTGTACATGGTATGGAGCCCTATCTTTACAAAAGGTCTAAACTATATAAAATACTTTATTATCTTTTTCTCCCATTTTTTTTCATTTGATAGTGTTCACCATAATAAAAAATGCATAAATATAACTGCTTCACTACATTTCACATACCTGTATTTATCTGAGTGCTGTCCAAAACTGTTGTGCTAGCCAAAGTAACGTACTAAAACATTTGAGAAGCATAACCCATTACACTCACAATAATGTTTATATGCACTGTTGTTGCCATGTGAGAAGGCATCCAGTTTAATAACACCATCATGTCAGACCATTTTATACATTTCAGTGGCCTTTAAAAACAAACAAAAAAAGTACTTAAGTGAAGATCGTTTTTGCTAGAAACAGCTTTTATATTTTCACTAAACCATTCAAAATATGACATCCTATTGGCACATAGTTTATTGCCTAAAACCACTGAACAGATCAGCCATTAAAACAAATTGTACATTGTAAAGCTTGTAGTAGCTATTGTATTATTGATTATACTGTATACTATATTAAATGTGAATTTGTACCCCTTCATTTAAAAAGGTCATGGTGTTCTACTGCCTACTTGTGGGAGGGGGGGTTAATTTTATGGGGGTGGGATATGTTTTGGTAAGGAAGACATGATGTCCTCTCTCTGTTGATTGGTTTTTTGAAGATGTAAGGTTATGCTCTTACTACCAAGCTCAGGATTCTTGATTTTAAAGGTACACGGATAGTTTGAGATATCTTATTGTTATTGATCTGTATGAGAGGTGGGTCTGAACCATAGGGACTTCCATTGTCTTACGCTAACATAAAGAATTGAATGGCTGCAATGTATTGAGTTCTGTTACAAGACAGTTAGGCATATTTTGGATTATATTTGGTAAAGTTTGGGTGCCTGTGAATGATTAAATACATGTTTCTAATATTTTAGTGTTTTATATTTAGGTTATTTATTCTTTATATCTAAAAAATGAATGGCTACTGTGCTATATTGATTTTATTGGTAGTACTGAGCAGACCTTGTATCTGCATGAAACTAGTTGCAAAACCCACTATTTTGGAAAAAAAAATTGTATTTTGACATATACAAATAAAAGGAATACAAACTATTTTAAATGTGTGAAAGTTTTACTGAGAAGACATTGAAATTTGTTATGAATTTAAACCATGTTATAAGTTGCTATTTAAATTCTTTGGTGGGCATTTTTCATTCATTGCATTACTTGGATGCAAAGTTCAAGTACCTTTCAAAGATTGTAATCAGATTGTGATTATTTGCATATCATTGTACATGCACATCTGTAAATGCAACAGTAAAAATGCCATATTTATGCAATCTGTAACAACTTGGACAAATGTTTATATATTTTACATAAACCTGTCTGTGTGCGGAATCTGAGAACCATTTTTTACGTGATGTTAACCGAATCTCACAAAGCAATTGCTAAACTTGTGTCGCTGTCTCATTGTTCTTGATTGTGTTGAAGATCCAACACATCCCCAGAAAATCCGGCTACCGCAGAGAGAAAAATGGGTTATGGACAACTGTTATTATTTAGGAGA